TTTTTTTTTTTTTTTTTTTTTTTTTTTTTGTAACAGACAACTTGTTTACATAATATCAAGTAATACTTGCAACTTGGATAATACATTTACCTAATGATAACTTAGGTTAGGGAGCTTCCTAATAACACGTTTCCTCTGAATTTCTTAAAACATTATTCAATATCTGTTTCACAATTGAGTGTATATTGAATTGGATTCTTATTCTAGCTGTCACTCCAGTGTCAAGATTCTGTAATATTTGAATTAGACGAGGGGTGATGGTGGGCAATCACGTTTAGTCGGTGGATGCAACTGCGAGAATCCAAAGAGATGATAATATGAAAATTCTTATTTTAGACATGAATACCCTTGCAATTTCAACACACCATGCAACTCATTTGGATTTTCCTTTTGGTTTCTGTCGGATCTAATGATTGTTCACTATTTATATGATTTCAAACTTGAGATATCAACATATGCTAAAACATCATTATTAAAATCCTTTTTAGGTGTATAATTAAGAACATACTGTTAAAACTATCTTTCTTATTTCTTACGTTAAATATATCTCCACTTACAAAACATCAGTTTCACAAAACTTAGAAAATCTTATATGATGGCCATTTTCCCGACATATACAGTATGTTATTTTCAGTAATTAATTTGAACGAACGTTACAGATACTCAAAGATTTGTAACCAAAAAGGCAGAGACAAAAAAAACAAAACGGATAGGAAGCTAAAAGGACAACAATACCCTCGAGTGCAATGTAAACGACATCGTATAAGTACCTATGGTAATCATAGTTTTGTACCAGAGAATCAGGGGAGACAATTGATTGGTTTGGTGAGAGCAACTTTAGGATACTAAAAATAATCGATGGCGACTTCGAAGCTTCAAGCTCTATGGAATCACCCTGCTGGTCCTAAAACCAGTGAGTCATTATTCAAAGATGATACCTTTCTTCATCGATTTAGATGATACTCTCGAATTTGGATATAACTGTTATCTTTAGAACCATGTTTTAAAATTATAGGATTGGAAATTGAATATGTTTGCTATGATCAAGTAACAACTCTGATTTATACAAAAAAGGACCAAAAAAAAAAAAAAAAAAATCACACTTTCCTCTATGTCTCTCAGTGTGAGTCTCTGTCACCCAATCAAATCTGAAATTGATATCAATGAATCAAACAAATGCATCTTTTTTTTTTGCATTGTAGTCTTGTTTTGGATCATATATGGATGAAAGTGAGTAAACTCTCTTGTCGTTTGATTTGACAGTTCATTTCTGGGCGCCAACGTTCAAGTGGGGTATTAGCATTGCCAACATTGCTGATTTTGCCAAACCTACTGACAAAATCTCCTACCCTCAACAGTTTGGTATATCTCTTTTTTACTCCCACTGTATTGTTGATTGCTTTTCTTTGTCTTAATACGCTTTTCAACAGTTTGATTTCTCTGATGATGTCTCTTTTTAGCTGTTGCATGCACTGGAGTTATCTGGTCTCGCTACAGCATGGTTATCACTCCTGTGAGTGTTTTCCTTTTAAACACTTCTCCTCCTCCCTTCATAATGCCATCACTAGAAAAGAACTATTCTTCTTATTTGCTCTTCTTTGACCTCTGACTATTTGGTTTACAGAAAAACTGGAACCTCTTTAGCGTTAATGTTGCTATGGCCGGGACTGGCATTTACCAGCTTGCTCGTAAAATTAAGTAAGATCCCATTTCTTCTTATTTTACATGAAAAATGTGCAACCGAATGCTCTCTTAGTTTTAGGCTACTGGAATAAGAACTAATCTCTTTTATTTTTGCTATTATGATCAGTTTTTTCTATCTACTAATGAACATGCACAATCTTATGAGGCTTGCTTTAACTCTTTAGAAAAGAATATTAATATACTTGTTTTGATCTCTACAGAAACGATTTTGCATCTGAAGAGGAGCCTATTATTGCCAAAGAATGACTCTGACGAAGTAAGGATCTTCGTGCTTGTTGCTTGAAAATCAAGTCCCAAGATTTTTTCTTTTTCTTTTCATCTTTAAAGGAGATCATATGCTACTTTGAGTCGAACTAATAATCACACCAGAAAAAAACAATAGAAAACAAGAATTCTCAATAAAATTTGCATCTTCATTTCCTAATTATTGAGTTTGGACTTAACCATCAGGTTCAGGAACAAAACCAACAGAGTAGATTAGTAGAGACATCTCTAACTACTGTTCCCTTCTTTCTATATTGTATTTTCTAATGAAATGAATCGAGTAGAGGAAGAACCAACTCGAGGTGCAATGAACGCAGAAGCTCTATTCATATGCTTTCAAAGTGGAAAACAGTCATAATGAAAACCCTGTGAGGATGTGAATGCTTAATCAAATTAAAATCCAGACAAAGAAAAAAGAAGAATCCTTTAAGAATTGAATGTTGAGTTCTGAATCAATTGAGTCTGAGTCATCAAAGAAGAAAAAGGAAGAAGCCATGGACGTACACAGACCATCTCTAACAAATGCTTTCTTCTCTCTGTATTGTCTCTTCTAATTCATGAGGAAAGTGAAAGTTAACAATTACGATAATCCAAACCCTGATGGTGCCAGTTTATCACTCTTCTAATGGCTCGGTCTCTTCTGGATTGTTTTCAGAATCTGCATCGTTTGCATTTAGATTGAGTCCTGAATCCGTAGTGCTTTCGTTGAGATCTTGTCTCACTATTTTTTCTTCCTCCTGCTTAGAAACACATGAGAGGTTGTTTAGTATCAAATTTGCGTAAACAACAAAAGATAACTTCTTCAAATGGACTTTACGTGTATTAATGAAATTTGGAGCGTGGGGATAAAAAGATTCAACATAATGACAATAACTGGCGACTGAACAAATGCAAAGAGTCCAAGACTTCAATGAAGATTCTTAGTAGCTATAGTGGTAGTACAAACTTTAACAAGCCTACCAAAACGAAACTACACTTTCTTTAACAGATGGTTTCAGAATCTAACAATGGCTTCTCAGCAGAAAAAAACAAGCAAATTCACAAGAAGACGAAGACTTCAGATTAAAAGAATGAGGCTGAAAGTTGTACCTGATTATCTTCCATGGGAAGATCATTCATGTCAGGTTTCTCCTCAACTTGTGCTTTCTTCTCCTCGCTTGGCTCCACTGCAGTTGCATCCTCTTCCTCAACCTTGTCGTCTTCCTCAGTTTCTGTAGCTTCCCTCTTCTGCTCCTCAAGTACTGCGATCTACACCATTTTTAATCACACTCAACTTCAAATAGATCACAATGACTCCAAAACTATCAAGACTATGTTTGTATGAATTAACATTTAAATCCAACCAAAAGAATTCAACCATACAACAAACCTTGTTGCCAAAAATCAAAACTTTAACAAAACCTTAAAAAATATCAATAAATGCTCCACTAATCCCTCTCCCAAAATTGCTGCTACAGAGTAATCATCAGTTTATCCGAAATAATTCAAAACAGCAGACGTAGCAATTGAATTAGGTTAATACTATTAACATTGAAAAGGGACAGCTTTGAATACTATTAACATTGGAGCTCAAAGCTGTCCCCTTTCAATGTTAATAGTTATAAACCTAATTCGACAATTTAAACCCTAATCACTGTAGCAATCACTTAAGCAATCGAGCCTCTTAATAAAGAAAAAACAAAATAGCTCAAATCCAATGCAACAAGAAAGAACACATTACACTAAACCACAAGAATCAACAAAAACTAACCGGCACGTATTTGAATCTGCGCCGTGGAGGCTCTTCTTCTGCCGCTTCCGCCGTCACAGGATCCTCGCCCGGAGAATTAGACTCGCTTTTACGATCATCATTCCCGTTTCCGTTGCCGTTGCTCTGAGACAATGGAGCCCACTTAAAGAACAACAAATGGGATGATCCATCGGAAGCAGAAGCACCGTTAATGACGGAAGAGGTGGTGGTGTGTTGTTTCTTGGAGGAGGGAGAGACGTGAACCCACTTCTTCTTCCACTTCCTTACCGGACCTGTGAATACCGTTGCCGGTCCACTGTAACGACTCGACGATCTACCTAACCTACCTCCTACTCCTTCCATTTATAACGATTCGCTTGATTTCAACTGATTCAATTCCCAAATTCAAAAATCACGATCCCCGCTTTTGGAATTTTAATGGATTAATTAAAAAAAAAAAACTATGTTTCCTCTCTTTCCTACCGGAAGAAGAACGCTCTCTCTCTCTCTTTCAGATCTCAGTTTCGGTAAGCCGATCTGATTCGTCTTTGGGAACCGAAGACTCTCGCTGGGTTAGAGGGTTCTCACTATGTACACGTGTATTGTAAGGCTTATCTGTAAACCTAAGAAGACTCTTTTCCATTCAGAGGATCTCGCCTTAATCTTGACCTAGTAGCGGCGCCCTCTCAGAGATAGCTAAATCGAAAAGACATTTCTACCCCTGATTTTCATCCTATATAAATATCGCTTCAACTGCATTTCAGTATCATCATCTCTTCTTCACGGCGCCTGGCATTAGGGTTCATTCACACATCTAATTCGATTATGTAACATATAGTTTTGTAGGTTTTTGGGATTATCTGATTCAGATTAACGTATTTTCGCGTATTTGATTAGATTTATATAATTTGGTAGCTACTTTGTACCAAGAGAAGGGTTAGTGATACTCTTATTCTTGAATTGGCCAATTAACGGCTGTAGCTAGATCAATTCAGAAGCTATCTGGCCGGTGGTCGCGAGAGAGAATCAATTCTCCTCGGTCGATTCATCTGCTTACCGAGTTTCGTACATTTTTTTTGGGTTCTGTCTCATCCCAGTCTATTGATTAGTCATCTGATTCTAACTAAAGTTAGTCTCCAATATTGATTAGATTTGTATTATTGGTGGGGGCTACTTTGTACCAAGAGAAGAGTTAATCTGATTACTCTTATTCTTGAATTGGCCAATTACGGCTGTAGCTAGATAAAATCAGAAGCTATCTGGCCGGTGGTCGCGAGTGAGATTTAAATCTCTCCGGTCGATTCATCTGCTTACCGAGTTTCTTACATTTTTTGTAACTATAATTCGTGTTATTTTATTTCTGAAATTGTTAGTTAAGAGAAAGGATATTAAAGAAAAGAGGATTTCAGATGTTCAATCAATTGCTATTCTCTATTAACCTTTCTCGTAGATTAAACATTGGGCTCCTTTCCAGGCAATCTGCTCTATTGTTAATGAGCGGCAATGTGTCTTATGGGTGCCTATATACGGTTATACTTAAACTCTATATAAAAGTTTTGGCTAATGTGTGGTTTTTGCCTGGCTGGAGATGGTAAAACGTGTGTTGTTTCGAGGTATAATATGAAGACCAGTTATTGTAATTATACATGGAAGAAAAATTCATTGGATTGGCGATCTTCGATTTGCTATTTTCTTTGTAACAAAACAAATGACTATCATAGGCTGAGTCACGTTAGATCATTTGACCTTAAATTGCTCTGAAATTTTTTTTTTGACCTTAACAAGCGAAGTAGGCCCGGTTATATTAGTCATGGCCCAAGCGAAGTAGGCCCAGTTATTTCATGTATTTTAGAAGCCGAAGCAACAAAGAACAGAACAATTAAGACAGTCATGACGACGTCGAGTAAGTCAAATAATTCAGGATTTAGAGAGTCAGATGTAACATTTGGGATCGAGATACACAAAATAGTAACGATGTTCCTATTTAACGATCTTACAAATAGGAACACGTGATAATTAAGGACATCAGATCGAGAGAACAGATCATCTTGCAATCTTTTACTACTTCCTTATTTATATAAGTTCAGTTCCTCAATAAAATCTCAGTAAAGTTATTCATAGATAATTTTTTTTCCTCAGTTCATACAGCTTAAAATTCAATTTATTGAGGTATATATAAACCCTGTTCTTTTGTGGGACGCAGCGTCAGCGACGGCGACCAAAATTTAACAAACTAAACAGAGAAATGTAAAGACAGCGTCTTTATACACTTCCCGCCGGCAACTGACGCCACTGATCTTTTTTGTGTTTTCTTTGCCGCTGTAAAAAACAGCGTCTCCCATACATGCTTTGAAGCGTTGCTAGCGTCAATTCTTGCTATCATATGACTCTCTATTTTAACTTATTGTTGACCTGTCATTTTAGATTCTTTGATATTTTGGTGTTGTTCGCGGCTGACGCTGCGTCCCGCAAACGAACAGGACTATAGTTGAATAACAATTCTTAGCAATGTTTTGAAAACCGGACTAGACATTGACCCAGTATAGTAGTTACTAATTAACTGATTGGATCGGTTCAATCAATGGATTTGATTTTTCTATTTTTTTTTAATGAAAAATATATAATTATATATATAATATATTCATTTTCTCTTTAATTAACTAAAAAATAAACAATAAACATAAATCTGATTACATATACAATAATAAACAAGTGAATATTATGTTCAGTTCCTCAATAAAATCTCAGTAAAGTTATTCATAGATAATTTGTTTTCCTAGTAGTTACTTGTTAACTACTATACATAATTTGTTTTTCTGGATATAGATAATTTGTTTTTCTCGATATAATAAACAAGTGACTAGACATTGATCCAATATAGTAGTTATTTGTTAACTGATTAGATCGGTTCAATTGATAGAACTGATTTTTGTTTTTTGATGAAAAATATATAATATATTCATTTTCTCTTTATTAACTTAAAAATAAACAATAAGCATAAATCTGATTATATATACAACAATAAACAAGTGAATATTATGGAAAATAAAAATTGATAAACATATAGACTATTAAGTGTTTAATTTAGTGTATTTATTTACAACTAAAGTCAGATTATTCAATCTCAAATTTTATGAATATGTCAAAATAAAAATAGTATATAAAAACCAAATATATATTTGTTTACATTCTTTTTTTAAGAAATATAATTAAATAGAAAATTAATTAGATAATAATAGTTAAACATTTAATATTAAATTTTAATAAAAACTAAAAACACAATAATTATATATTAATTTTAATAAAAATTCATCTAGATTATCGAATTTACTAAGTTTTCTCGAATCTATATATTAAACTGAACTGGACCTTGCTGACAAAAAGAAAAAAATTAAACCAAGTTCAACTTCTTCAACTAATCACAAAATCACAGTAAAACCGGTTTATCCGATTCGGTTTTCAAAAACTATGCCCCTTAATTAAATGAAAATCTTTCAAAAAAAAAGGAAAGAAAATATTTCCAATGTTAACACAAGTCCAAAAAAGATTGATCAGTGACATGTGTAGTTAGTTAAAAATCAAAATGATTGGATGAGAAAAGTTGGATGGCTAAATCTAAGAGAAGTTTAATGACTTCACCATAATTAGTAATTTTGTAATCTTTTTTTTTTTTGGCAACATATTTCTTTTCATTATCAAAAGGACCAAGTTATTACATAGTTCTGATTTTTAGTTCTTGCTTCCTTAGCTAAAGCATCTACATCAGCTAAAAAAGATCTTGGCATAAAGTGAAAGGTATAACTACAGGATCATGACATATTATAGATGTCTCGTATCATAGAAGAAGCCTCCGTGATACGCATACTGGTGATGGTTTTTTCAGTATAGTACTGATTTAACTCATCAACTAGTAGCTTACAGTCACAAATAAAGGTCACATTCTCATACCGTAAGCTTTTGATTTGTCGGACTGCCATTAACATAGCCATTGCCTCTGCTTCCAGAGATGTGTTTGTTGCCTTGATTGAAGAGGAACCCCTAAGCTTTTGGATGCCTTCTTTACTATGTAAGGACCATCCTATACCTGCTACCTCTTTGTCACTCTTCCAGGAAGCATCAACTAGACAATATAAGCTTGTTAATGTCGGGAGTACCTCATGTATGTTTTCAGTTTGATTCCTTTGTGTTCGGGTACTCTGCTCTTGAGGATTTTCATTGTCCATTGCTTCATTCCAGCTTTGATTCTCTCTTATTGCTGCATGTATAACCTTCAGTATATGATCTCTTTTATGTTGGAATAAGATATTATTTCTCATTTTCCATATATTCCATCCTGCAAAGAAATTCAGAAGTTCTCTCTTATCCTGCTTAGCACATCCCAGCAAGCAATTAATATTCATAATCAAATTATCTGAGGAATTGGTAGACACATGAAAACGAGTAGGAATCATCTCCCAAATTTCTTTGGCTACTCTGCATTCAAACATCATATGGTTAAGTGTTTCAATGCTCTCTCCACATGTTTGGCAGGTACTTTCTATTGCAATTCCTCTCTTTTTCATATTATCCATCACAGCTAAACTATCATGAGCTACTCTCCACCAGAATGTTTTTAATTTTGGAGGAATTTTTAGTTTCCATATGTCTGAGCAACATCTTTTAACTTCCTCCAAAATCTTTCCTTGATTTAAATGAGAATCTTGATCCTCCATCTCACATTGTAAATGATACCCTGTCTTAACATTATAATATCCATCTTTAGCGTATGACCAGACAAGGGTATCAGGATTACCTGTTTGGCTTGGTCGAATGTTTAAAACATAGTTGGCATCAACATCAGAAAGGAGGCTTCTAACCAACTGGGTGTTCCACGCGTGATCACCTCCTTCAAGCAGATCACTAACTCTGAGGTGAGGATAACTAACTGAACCAGGTCCAGAAGCAGGAGATGATGGTTTGATTTTAATCCAATTATCCTCCCACACTCGAATGTCTTTCCCATCACCTACGATCCATTTGCTTCCTTGTTTTAGTAACTTCTGACTTTGTATAATACTACGCCATCCATAGCTTGATGTAGTGTAGCTTTTAGCTTGCAAGAAATTTGAATGACGATAGTATTTAGCTTTGAAAACTCTAGCCAGAAGAGATTGAGGATGCTTCATCAGTCTCCATCCCTGTTTAGCAAGCAGGGCTATATTAAAATTCTCCATATCTCTTATCCCTAAACCTCCATCTCTTTTAGATTTAGTAATTTTATTCCATCCTATCCAAGGGATCTTATGCTTGTCTTTGATAGAAGTCCACCAAAAGTTCCTCATATAAGAAGTAATTTCTTTGAGTAAACTTTTTGGCAATAAAAAACAAGACATTGCATAAGTGGGAAGAGCCGTAACAACCGCTTTCAAGAGTACCTCTTTCCCTGCTTGGGACAGAAACTTATTATACCAACTATCTAGTTTATTTTGTATCCTTTGTTTCAAATACTCAAAAGCTTCTTTTCTTTTACGACCTATGCGTTCAGGTAATCCTAAATATCTTCCAAAACCTCCTATTTTATTGATTCCCATTACTTCTTTTAGTTGTTGCTGGTCAGTGGAAGAAATACCTTTGGAGAAAGTGATGGCTGATTTGGTATAATTTACCTCCTGTCCTGATGCTTTTTGGTAGATGTTCAGTATTTCCTTCAGTTTCCTACACTCCTCCACGGTTGCTCTACAGAAAACAAGAGAGTCATCAGCAAAAAATAAATGAGATATTGCTGGACCCCCTCGGGAGGCTTTATACCCATGAAGTTTTTGCTGATTAATGGCTCTTTTTATAAGTTGAGATAATCCCTCTGTACATATGATGTAGAGATAAGGTGATATGGGATCTCCTTGGCGTATTCCACGCTGAGGTCTAATTATATCAGTAGGCTCACCATTGATGAGAATGGAATATGATACAGTCGATAAGCATTTATAAATCCATTGACACCAAGTATCACAAAATCCCATTCTTCTCATAATCTGATCTATAAATTTCCATTCAACCTTATCGAAAGCTTTAGAGATATCCAACTTAAGAGCCATAAATTTAGTTTTAATATTCTTAGTATGTAAAGAATGCATCAACTCATGGGCAATGAGCACATTATCTGTGATCAGCCTTCCAGGGATAAATGCTGATTGGTTTTCAGATATTGTTCGGTGAAGATAAGGTTTCAGTCTCTCAGCTAAGATCTTAGAAATAATTTTGTAAGCAACATTAGAGAGACTTATAGGTCTATAATCCCTAATAGTAGAGGGAGAATCTATTTTAGGGATGAGGCAAACATGTGTTTGGTTTATCTTAGGGTCAAGGTGATTCTGATCAAAAAAAGTTTTAACATGAGAGAACACACCTTGTTTAATGATTTCCCAGTGATGCCTATAAAACCCTGAATTTATGCCATCAGGTCCTGGTGATTTATCCGGGTTTATTGAAAAGGCAGCAGCTTCTATCTCCTTCTCTGTGACTTGTGCAGTTAATTTTGCATTTATATCCTCAGATATGGTCACAGGAATACCTCGCAAAAGATCTTCATCAATAACACACCCTTCACTAGTATATAAACTCTGAAAGTAGCGCATAATTTCTTTTCTAATATCATTTGGCTTCGTCTTGGTATCTCCATGATCATCTTTTAAATGAATGATCCTGTTCTGACTTCGTCTTTGTTTGGTTTTAGAGTGAAAAAATTTGTTGTTTCTATCTCCTGCCTTGAGCCATTGAACACGACTTTTCGTTCTCCAATATTCCTCCTCCATCCTATATTGCAAGCTGAGTTCTGCTTTGAGGATATTTAGGGCAGCATAGTCTATTGGGAGAATTTGATACACTTGGAGAATCTGCTCCTTGAGTTGATTGATTCTCTTCGCTGTATTAGTTTGATTTTTACTTCTCCATCTCGACAAAGCCCTTCTGCATTTCTCAATAATCCTATGAAATTCCTTAGGAGAGATATTAGAACATTCGTTAGCCCAAACATCTTTAATAATTCTTTTAACTTCAGGCTCAAACCTCCATCTGTTATCATATCTAAAAAGACTATGCTTGTTTATTTTAATATCTTCAGTACATACTAGCAAGGGTCTATGGTCTGATCCTATCCAGGGTAATAGCTTAACGTGAGCAGTTGGATACATATCAAGCCAATCACAATTCGCCATTGCTCGATCTATTCGCGACTTGATATGATAATGAGCTCTATTTCCTACCCATGTAAAGTATCCTCCTATAGATTTTAAATCATGTAATCCTGAGATAGAGATCATTGACCTGAATAAAGAGAAAGAAGCTTCTGATCGTATAATACCCCCTTCTTTTTCATCATTGCTTTTGATTTCATTGAAATCTCCAAGCATGAGTCTTGGCCTGTGTTGAGTAAAACCTGCGGCAGAGTCTCTAATAAGATGTTCCCATAAGATCCTTCTATATTTAACTTCTGGATTTCCATATATATAAGACAAACAAAAGAGTTTACTTCCATCTTCCACATACATATCTGTCTTGTTCATAGATGGGTTTCCCAAAAAATGAATCTTAACCCCATCTTTCCACATTATAGCTACCCCTCCGCTACTTCCCCTAGCAGAGATTACAAAAGAGTGGTTATATTCTAAGTCCTTAGCTAAGTTATTTACAAAAGTATCTACTTGCTTAGTTTCTACGAGGAGTATGATATCAGGATTATGAGTTTTCCTAATATCTTTTAGATGCGGAATTGTCAAAGTACCCCCCAACCCCTGACAATTCCAGTGTAAGATCCTCATGGTTGCTGTGGCGGTTTGAGGAGAACCGCCAAACCTTGGTCCGGATGTTCTGTCTCAATCCTTTTTGATGAAGTTGATGCTTCAGTTTCAGTACCTTCCATAGTCTTTCTTTTAGTTCCTTGTTGTTGTTGTGGAGATACAGCTGGATCTTCTTGGATAGGTATTTGGTTTTCAGTAGTTTCCATTCCTTGTTGTTGGTTTTCTTGAGTCTCTGGAATCATTGTGTGATCAGTGTTTGCTTGTAACTGTGTAGCCGTGCCAGAAGACTCCCCAATCTCTCTTATGGTTATATATTCTTCAATGGCGCTTGAACGTTCTTGAGCTGTAGCATATGGGTTTGTTCCGATGTTCATCAGCTGATACTGGCGATGTGGCATTTGAGGTGTTTCATTGCACATCTCATAGTCATGTTTGAGACTACCACAAAGAGTACAGAACTTCTGTAGTCCCATATACCTGAAGTTAAGTTCAACCGGAGGCTTGTCTTTCAGTATCTCCACTGTTCTTGTGAGTGTAATGACATCATCGACATCAAAAAGGATCTTGACCCACACTTTTGCTTCTCTATTGTTTGAAGGCTCGACAATAGAAACTTCTTCCACTTCTCCTAGTTTTGATCCTATGCGTCTGACAAGTCCTTGTCTTCTATATATATTAGGAAGCTTATAGATCCGAACTTTGAAAGGAACTTGCCTTAGGAAAGTTGGTGAGCCCATGTTACTCCAACGATCTAAAGCTACAATCCATCCCCTGTATTTATAAGGTTGATTCTCTAGAACCATGAGTAAACGATGTTTCGTGTCGAAGTAGAAGTTCACTGTGCCATCATCGTTCACCTGGCCTTCTACTTTCCCTTCCAACTGCCAAGTTCTAGGAAGAGCCACTTTAATTCCGGGAGGATTCTGATGAAAAGGGTTTAGACCTTTTGCTACTAGACATAGGCGATGATCCTTTTTGAATTCTTCTTGTGCTTCTTCATGGATAACCCATCGATCTCTATCTGCTCCTAGCTTGAGATTTTGTAGGGCTTTCCATATAATATTTGTAGGATCTGCTTGTTGGTAGTTGATTTGATTGAGATCCTCTTGTTGTTCTTCTGATTGCATGTTGAAATCCTAGATTTTTTGATGAAGATTCAAGAGTCGGTTTGTTGTTCTCCGAGAGAATTCCAGAATCGCCTAGCGAGAAGAGAGAGAGAAGAGAGAGTAGTAATTTTGTAATCTACATTAAGTAAAAAAGCAAAAGAGAGTAGGGACCAGAAATACAAATACGTACTAATTTAATATAACCATCATCACATCATGTCGACGATATGCGCCGCTCTATAGTTTTGTTTAATTTAAGTTTTTATTACCTTAAAATCGAAATTCCGGCAGATAAAAAGACGAGAATGCCCCTCAACAAAAGAGAGAAACCGAAGAAGAAACAAACGATCGGGGAGAGATAGAGAGAAAAGTCATCACCATCTGATTCCTTCGATCTGCTAAAAGCTTTCGCTCGGTGAAGGAAGGAAGGAAGGAAACAGATAGACCTTCATTTACCCCTCCCACCTTTCTCCATTAGAAAACGGTTTGTGTTTGCTTCCTTCGTCTTAGATCCGTTTATTCTCTTCTTTTGATTCTCATGGATGGATGTAAGTAGTTTTTAATATCTTCGACTTGGTGGATCTGATTTGATTCATCTGGATCCTCCCCCTTGTTTTTTTGACCTTGACCAAGGCATCATTTCCCCTGTGACCTAGATTCCTTGTCTTTAGATTTGGGTTTCGCTGTTCGGTATTCGAATTTTGTTTGTGAGCTTTAGGTTTTCAAAATTTTCAATTTTGATGATTTTACTCTTCGTGTGTGTGTGTTGGGCACTGTAATAAGGGATCTTTGTTTAGAGTCTCAACTGCCACCATTTGCGTGTAGGTTTATATCTAATGATTAGTTTTTTTTTTATACTTAATTATCGTATTGTTAATGTTGCTTCCTCCTGCAAGTTAAAGTCTCTACCTTTACTTTACTAGCCCTGTTCTTTTCACTCTTTGCTGCAACCTTGAGCGATTTACTCAAAATCACCTGAATTTAATAGTTTAATTAACGTTTTAACAGATTATTATTGACCGAATAAGAAAAGCTAATTTCTTTGGATGAGTCATGTTAGTTTCCTTTTGCTCTTTCTATGGGTTTTTAATGGTTTCCCTCCTGGTGGCTTTCTTAGTAGTGTCTGGAGGTATAATATTTATACTGAGAGGAGAGATAGAAAATGGCGGATGGGATATCGAGCTTTTGGGGTCCTGTGACCTCTACTATAGAGTGTTGTGAGAAGAACTACGCCTACTCTTCTTACATTGCTGAGTTCTACAACACCGTCTCCGGTGTCCCTGGAATCCTACTGGCTCTCATTGGTCTCATCAATGCCTTAAGGCAACGCTTTGAGAAGAGGTTTAGCGTCCTTCACATCTCCAACATGATCCTTGCTATCGGCAGCATGCTCTACCATGCCACTTTGCAGCACGTGTAAGTCGCACTTCCTTGCTGTTTGATTGATCCAGAAATTTGGTTGATGATTATCTGTCTTTTGATTGAAACAGGCAACAACAGAGTGATGAAACCCCAATGGTGTGGGAGATACTTCTCTACATGTACATCCTCTACTCACCAGACTGGCATTACAGAAGCACTATGCCCACTTTTCTTTTCCTCTACGGTGCTGCCTTTGCTGCAGTCCACGCTTATCTCAGGTTTGGCATCGGTTTCAAGGTCCACTACGTGATCCTCTGCCTTCTGTGCATCCCTAGGATGTACAAGTACTACATTCACACAGAGGACACCGCAGCTAAAAGGATTGCGAAATGGTATGTTGCTACGATCCTAGTGGGAAGCGTTTGCTGGTTCTGTGACCGTGTTTTCTGCAAGACGATATCTCAGTGGCCTGTGAATCCTCAGGGACATGCTCTGTGGCATGTATTCATGAGTTTCAACTCTTATTTTGCAAACACGTTCTTGATGTTCTGTCGAGCTCAGCAACGTGGATGGAATCCAAAGGTGAAGTACTTTCTGGGAGTTCTTCCTTACGTCAAGATCGAGAAGCCAAAAACGCAATGAGAAGGAAAAATTGGGGGGAGAAAGAGCCCATAAGAAGATCATAAATATAGTTTTTTGTTCATCGTTTTGTCAGAAATTTCGAAGTTTGTTTTATTTTTTTTGGAAGTGGAACTCTCTAAGATACAGAGTCTAGATTCTTTTTCTTGTATTAGTTTTATTGGGGATGATATGATCTTAAGAAGTATTGATTTTTAACTTGCTGAATCGCTTTTGTTTCTCTGTTTCTTGTGTTAGTGCATCATCTTATAGTGAGAGATCTTTCTTTAACAAAGCTGTGAGCTGAAAACGGGAAAGACAATAAACTTATGAATCTATTGCTTTCTTCTTTTGTATCCAAATGTTTTTCTTGTTAACACACGCATGGTATATGGTATATGGAAGGTACAATGAAGGCCTGTGATGATGGTCTAAGATCCAATAACCTTTTCTTGTAACATTTGGCCAAGCTTCATGAATAGAGCTTGTTGTTCCTCCAATGTCAGGCTTGTTATTATCTGTAATAAAGAAGAGTTCATCAAAAGCCAAATAAGGGATCTTAAAATGTGTTGTGTTGGTTCTTTTACAGAGTAAAGTAATCTTCTTACCTGGTCTAAGAGCTTATCAACAGAGAAGCTTTGAGGTACAACAAATGATTGATGGTATATATATGCAAAAACAGCCATCACCATCTTTAAACCAGAAAGAATACAATGATGTTAGAGAAGGTCTACGGTTGCAATAACAATGTATTGAACTCAGTGCGGCCATATATACCTGACAATCCATTCTATCTGTGATTCCACCATGCCCGGGAATACTATCACCAAAGTCCTGAGAAATGTAACAGTGAATCAATATTGCTGCATAGATATTGACGTTTTCTATACTGAAACTAACCTTGACTTTGAAAGCTCTTTTGAAACCACTAGCAAAGAAGCCACCAAAAGGCGCTATTATAGAAGCAAACAATCCAAGACACAGAGCATGCCACTGAACTGGTAGAACAGAAATATCTTTCCAAGGTAACTACAAAGTAAACGCCTCTTTTCGTTTAGTGAAGCAATGAAAGTTGCTCGTGTAACTGTTTCAGTACTGTACAATATCTAGCTTTACCCAATTAGAGATCCATCCTGGTAAAGCATGTGTCTCTTGCTTGAACAATGGACCCGGATCACATTGGAGCCAGCCCGTGGATAGATCCTGTAAAATAATCACAATCCAGTAACATAAATGGTCATTGAACAATCATATGATTCTTGTATGATACATGACATGACTATAACTTCTAAGTACCTCTCTGGGACATGTAAGCCATAGGAAACGTCCCATTATATTTGCAAGCTGCAAAAAGAAGCACATATTAATAACCATTAACACTCATATAAACATTTTTCTTGTTAGGTTACCAGGAATGCAGAGATCATTGTGGTGATAGAAGCTCCAATGAAACCTTCCCAAGTTTTCTTTGGTGATAACTTGATCAACGGCGTTCTTCCAAAGAAGAAACCACAGATATAAGCAAAGATGTCGTTGATGACAATAAGTGATGCAGGAAGAAGAAACCTTGAACAGCAAAAAAACTGAATCTTAACAAAGTAGACTCAAGAAGGAACATATGTTAAATCTGTAACTACCAGAAGATTCCTTCAAAGATGTTGGCGACAGTGAATGAGGATTGAGTGAACACCACAATCAAAATCATATGTGTCCATGCATATTGGCTAAACTGATATTTGTACATCTTCTTTTTCAACGTCAGAATGAACCAAACAAAGCCTAGCAAAAAACACAGACTATGTAAGCAAAAGCAGTAAACAATAATCATTGCTACTGATAGTAAACCTGAAAAGTTGATAAAACATCTAACCGGATATATACAAGGAGTAACAGATTGCCATGTGGTATTTAATGAGGCTGGTGACCAGTCGATACAAGACTTTGTCTGGAGTCACAGTGTTGACTAGCCGTTGACTAAGTATACGACCATATACAAAAAGCATTGCTGTGAAAAAGAAGTGCCTGCAAAACATAGTTTACCAATTTCAGCAACAGTCACATAAGAGAAAAAGATCAGAGATACTCTCAAGTGTGGTTTACCAATTGAGTAATCTAAACCCGGGGAGCTGTTTATCTTCATGAGTTTTTCTTAGCAAATTGAAAAGTTCTCGTGCCATGAATATCTGGATAACAACCACCATGGCTGTAATATAGAGATGGCCCAAGTAAACTATGAGAGCAAAACCACCAATCATCCAGAAAGTGGAGTATGCTCGGATGAGAAACGATTTGTATTTGCTACTGTCATTGACAAGTAAATTGCTTCCGTTTGGTTTGCTTGCTCCTGCAGCAACCTAAACACCAAGAAAATTGATTTGAATTTTCAGCCAAAGTATATACAAAACGAAAAAGTAATTAGCTTTTTCAATAAAAAAAAAAAAGGATACTAACACAAGGAAAGCAACTAAACCAAGAACCTGTGTCTCATATAAAAAACATGAATAAGAAGAGAGAAGGAAACATACATCAGTGTTTCTCTTCCGGTGATGACGAGCACGAGGGGTAGGTGGTGATGAAGCATCACCAGTATTTTCCTTGTGCATGTTGCTCACGTTGACTCTGTTAATTACCTGAGAAATGAAAACGCTATGAAAATTAAGTTATACGACACTACATGCACCATGAGTGACCATCTAACATCCAAAATACAAAAAAAAAAAAAAAAAAAACAAATCAAGGAAGAATATGAACTGAGAAAGGGACTCGAAAAAATATTTCTACATATAGCAACTACATGCGAAAAGATAAGGCTGAGCAAACATACATGTTTAAGAATATATTCTAAATATACATAACAAGAAACTAATCAATCTATGGGTAAAATCATACATAATGATGCGTTCTCGAGAATCAAAACTCAAATTCAAGCATACTGGAGACTGGAGTCTCAACTAGTGTTTCTCAAAAGACACACGAACTATGAAGAATGAAACAGAGGAAGAACACTACTACTAATTTCTCGTGGAGATCTGAGAACTGAGGAGACAGAGAGGAGGGTAAAACACATATCAGTTCATAACTATGTGTTACTACAGAAGGCTGAGACGTGAAACCTGATATGTGAGCTCGTGCCACTGTGAGGGAGTAGGAGGAGGAAGACACACGAAGAAGATGGAGCAGAAGAGATACCGACTTTTAAAGAGAGAACATCGAAGAAGACACGAACCGATTCTTTTTTATTTTCTCTCTCTTTTTTCTCGAACTTAAATTTAATTTTTAGCCAACAATAAATAATGTGGCACTGTTATTCTTCTTTTCTCTAACGTTGCACACAATGTTATTCTTTTTTTCTTTTGTCTAACTAACTGGGGAGCGTGTGATGTTGAAGATATAATATAAAGGTACTTTTTTGCAATATTCGTATTCAAAGTTCAAACAATCAGTTCTTGAGGAACTGGTTATTACAAAAACGAAAAAAAGAAGTTTTTGTTGTTTGGAATATTAAGAGTAGTCGAATATTAATGGAATAGAACCCGCCAAAAGGAGAAACAACGAACTAGATTCTTCTGTTTTTTCTTCTTTACATACATGTATGATAATTATATTTTTTTTACAAGATTATTAGCGTATAACTTAGGCCGACTAAGTACGTAATCAGTTTCAGTAATATTGAAATATTATCCTTCTAAGTTTTATTCCGGTTGATTGAACGGGACTTTCAATGATTATATGATATCATTAGTTGACCTTTTTTCCTTATCAATCATTCACTGCCATTTACGTAGGTTAACCAACTATTTAAAAATGTAAAAACTAAAATCATCAATTGGTTTTATATAATCAAAATCATGCATAAGGCTGTTCAATATTTTTCTTTTCCCTTGGGTCTTTCAATACTGAAATATCTAGCCTGGATCTTAGGCTACAAGATTATCTCCAAGAAAAAAGTTGTGAAACCTGGAAAACTAACTCTTAAAGCGATGATGAGTATAGCTTTGTTTCCTGCTATTAGCTCTATTCCTCCTGAAGCTCATATATCTGCATGTATGCTTCCGATAGTTCTACCATCTGTGGAAGCGTCTCTGCAACATGCAGATCCTGCATCTCGTACCTGAAAACAGAGAGAACACACACACATTATTAACCTCAAATGCTGTCAATTTTATGTACATATCTAGATCACACTCATATACCCAACACTATCTGTTTGAGTCACTTAAAGAACATTAACACACGAAACAAGTGAAGTTTTGACATTCCGATTTCAAGTTTTAAAAGTTACACATTCCTATAGAAGAAAGAAACGTTACCAGAGTTCTTGCGACTTCCGCTGCACAAACACTCTGAAATACCCATCCTCTGGCTTCCCATCATGAACAATGTTGGCGATTAAGTTATACTTTGTACAAGTCTTCTTTCCTTCTGTGGCACTAGGCAATGATGGTATGTAATCCCTCAGCTCCATGTCTTTCACTGGGAAGTTAACTGTCGCATCAACAAAAATAATGAGTCAAGGCATTTAGGGAACTTTGTAAAATAATAATGTCACAGAAAAGTCTAAATAGACTCACCCAAGGTAGGGTTCTTCTCTTTGAAGAAGTTGTTCTTCTTGAACCGGACCATATGGAACATCAAGTAAGGTGGAGATTTTGTTACTCTATATCTCATTCTGGCTAGCCTTGGGCGCACCACCTCTGTCAGGGTTTCTCCATCAAACTTCTTCAGCAGATCGAATAGAGCAACCTGACCCAAGTATCAAAGAAATTAGCTTCTGCTTACTAAAAACTCAAAGACGCAATGGCAAGCCTAAAGACTACTACAGGTCCAAAGCAAAGAAGAAGTCAGAGAATTCTTCGCTTCCTAACTCACAAAATGGATTCCAAAAAGACAGTAAAATCTATATTCTAGGACAGCGACTAATCACGAAACCACTACACAGGTATGTTACTGTGTCTCAGCCAAGTGTGATATTTTCATAAAGTGATATTAATACTTTTCTAGCATAGCTAAGAATGCATTATGTAAAAGGGACAGAGCAGACTATTCCGCAGGGTTTCAAATAGCCGAAATTTAACAGTTTAAAAAGCAAGATGTATGTACCTGAGGAATTATGTTTTTCTCCATGACATCTTTGAAAAGAGGCGGCGGTGGCAGATCTAACCCAAGCATCAGAAAAGGCATCCTGGAGACTTCTTTGTTTTCACTGCCTTGATACTCTCTCACAACTTCTAACTCACCCTGTAATGGTTATCAGATTACATTAACATGCAGCATCTTGCAACCAATTATATCAAACTACATTATGTTTAACTATCAAAAGGAAAAAAACATACCTGGAAGCACTGGTGGATGATACTGCTGGCGTCCTTTGAAGTTCTTAGATCCATATGCAAAGTGTTGAGGAGCCACGACATAAACTCTACTGGATCTGATTGCTGGCCTATCTTAAATCGCTTATTGCTGGCTTTCATGACAGCTTGCAAGAACTCATGTGGACTCACCTGTTGACGCAAAAAAGTTGAATTTAGCAAGGTTCTTAGTAGGCGAGGGCATGAAAAATACTAAAAAACGTGAATGGCATAAATTGAGTCAGACCTGTCCTTTGAAGTTTCGAGCATGCCAAATCTTTCGAGCAAGTTCCCCAAAGCGATGAACAAGAGGAGACTTGCAATGCTGATAGTTCTCGGGAATAAGGAAAAAGTTCCTTAGAGGAGTAACTCTCATCAGTGATTGGATTGTAACATTCACAAACTCTGTCTTCTGTATGTTGTTCAATCCCACCTGTTGTATACAAGGTATTTAGGAGACACACATAATCAAAAATAAACTGTGTTAAGTAACAGAGAGAGGATTACCATTCCCGGAAGATAGTCAGAGCCATCAAGAGCCCTAGACCACTGCTTATTCCTATCAAGCTCTTCTACTTGTGCTCTACTAAACCTGTAAACGAATAGCACCAACGCCTTGATAAGAAGGGACTGAAAAATACAAACGGTATAAAGAAAGAAACTTTCAGAAACCATAAAGGGAAGACCGATCACTTGCAAAGCCTTAGACATTAACAATTCAATGCAGGCTTAAACATTCTGAGCACAAGGCATTAGGAAGTAGCAGTGAAACATACCGTGGATTCAAGACATGTCGAATGTCATCCAAAGAAGGATCATTGATCTCGTAACTATCAGGAAGGCAATACACCTTCTCCGTCAAAAGATTGATGTAAACGTGGTGTCCAGCTTCCAAGCTATGCGTATAAGCATGAGACTTCTGGCTTCTTCCTTGGAAGTACTTCCCGCATACGAGACACGCATACACATTCAAATTCGACAAGGACACTGAGCAAAACCTCTCGAAATCAAAATCCAAAACCTAACCAAGAAAAAAAAAACTCAACATCAAAGAAACCAAATTAAGATGCTAATCCCAAAAAAAACAATAAACAATATGATAAAGATAGATACATTACCTGACGATTAACAGTATCAAGATAAGGGCAATCGCGACGAACTTCAACATTGCGTGAATGTTTCACCCGAAACTTAGAGGCATCATCATCGTCTCCGTCTTCATCGATCTCCTCTACTCTCGCAGCTCCGTCATCCTTCTTCTGCTCGTTCTTCGCTTCCTCTCCATCGTAAGCATTAGACCGCTCTATCACGTTCTTCCGCTTCGAATCTCTCTCTTCCTCAGGACTACCGTTCTTAACTTCTCTCTCACTCTTCATCCTCGAGATTTCCTTACGGAAGTTGATTCTAAACTCTAGAAACACAGAAGATCAGCGATAAACGAGATTCTCTACAGATTAACAGCAGTGATTCTTCAATAGAAATAGCTTAGACTTCAATCAGAGAGCTCGATGGTCGTGTATCTACCTCGAGGATATACCTCGTTCAGCAAAATTTTCCCGAGAAAATTCGAATTTTTTCGCGAGAAAGCAGACTTCAATAGACGACGCAAGAACCTTTATTCGCCGAATAGTGTGGGATCTGATAACAAACAATCATACATAAGGCTTTTTAAGAAAAGAAAAATCACGCTTTGTACATTACTGTTGGCCCAGGCCCAATAGCACCAATATTTTGGGGTATTTTGGAAGTTTCCTTTTTAGGAAAGTCTAAATCTTTTAGGTCAAGTTTGTTCCTTTACTTGTTTGTAGGATTACATGCCCAAGTTTAGAATGATCATTCACTGATATATTTAGCAAATTGATTGTTTTGGATGCAAATGATAGTCTTATTATGACTTTGGATTTGTCAATGTTTGTCTATTGTAGTACTCCAGCTAAAACTAAAAGCGAAAGGGTGGTCCAGGAGGATTAAACAAAGTCTGTAAAGTTTCTCCTGAGCTTCAAGTCGTTGTTCGTGAACCTACTCTTCCTAGAACTCATGTTCTTAGTTATATTCACCATTATGACAAATGTGTATATAAACAGTTGTTTTGTTATAAAAAAAAAGTGTTGATATTTGGCTTTTTGGTATTCAGATTGTGAGGCGATTGTGGGCTTACATAAGGAAGAACAACCTCAAGACCCTGTTAACAAACGGAAGATCATATGTGATGATGCGTTGCGTGTGTTTTTCGAGACTGATTGCACTGACATGTTCAAGATGAATAAGTTGCTTGCTAAGCATATTCTCCCGCTTGATCCATCCAGTAATGGTTTCTTTAACAAGCTGAATGTTCTTGGTTAGTGTTTGAAATGTCATTTTTTTTGGCAGAGGACTCTGGTCAAGTGAAACGGGCAAAAGCTGAGGTTGAGACTGAGACCACAGAGCATGTTACTTCAACTTCAACTGTTGCGTTATCCGAGCCACTTACTAAGTTCTTTGGCACTGGTGAGACAGAGATGAAGAACGAAGAGATTATTAGCCGTGTTTGGGAATACATAAAACTCAACAGTTTAGAGGTGGGTGTTGAAACACTATGGTTGTTCCTTTATTGCTTCCCAATAACATAACCTTCTTTTTTTTTTGTGGGAAGATTCTGCTTTTTTTGAATGGTCATTAATAAGAAAACTAATCACTGTTTAATCTGCTTTTCAATATGTTCTCAGGACCCGGTAAATCCACTGGCTATTCAGTGTGATGAAAAGCTCCGAGATCTTCTTGGATGTGAAAGCATTTCACCTGTGGGGGTCAATGAGATGCTGAGACGCCATATGTACAAACCGTCTTGATATCTCCTGCTTCTGACTTCATTAACAACGAACTGCTATTGTGAGTGAAGCTTCACACATTTTGATATTTTAAATGTCCGCATTGTTCCGAGAAACATGGCGATTGACTTCTGTATCTTAATCCTCTTGCAGGTGTGTATCCAGTGAACCTACTTATGACTCTCGGGTGTAGAAATCCGATAAGGAAAGAAAATACCATTTTCACTTTTAACTTATACCATGTTTCTTTGATATCGTATTTAAGTATCTTACAGTATTCAGGGAATCTGTGATTGTCTAAGTGCTGAAAACTCTAGTGTACGGGTGTCAGATGGCGGAGATGTTTTGTATTTTAACGCCACTTACCCATTTATGTTTTAGGAAGAAAAATTGGTAAAAAGACTCATGTGTTTAACTATGTTTTACCGTGTAAAAGTATTTGCATCTTACTAATGTGTTTATGTAGAGAAAAACTTAATGCTCTTATGATTTTCTTTCTCTGCTATCTTCCATGGTATTTGGCTATTTGCTGTGTTTTAGGCTTATAGTCTTGGTTGGGTGAAGTAGAAAGCGACTGCAGCAAGCAACAGAAGAGCAAGAAGCAGAAGCGTCATTGCTTGTCTCCTTATGTTTTCTACAGGTCTTAAGAAAGTGACCATCTTCTCAGCCAAGCTCACTGCAAACGCCATAGTTCTCTGCAACAACACATGTAAGTATGTCACATTAATCTTATGAACATGTACAATACGTGATAAGACTAATACTGATCAAGCTCACTAGTCTAAGAGGCTCAATGTGAAAAACTGGCTCCATGAACATCTCCACATTCCTGCATTGTTTTTTGTTATTAAGATGGTCATGAATCAGAGGCTATATAATCGAATGAAAACCGGGTTTAGACCGGACTAATGATGACTAACTTTATCAACAGTTTTCCCTGGTAGATATGGCAAATGTGGAAACTCATTCCCTTCCCCAATTGGATGTTTGACTTCTCCCATTCTGTGAATTACAACTATTGTCAAAGCAATCATTTTAATCGGAATGGTATAGAAGATATTGGAGGAGACTAATGGGCGGTTGGGTATGGTGCTAGAGTTTTGAAAAGGTTGAAGACACCATAACGGAGCCAAATAGAATCAGCTTGGATATAAGGTTATCGGTTAACCGGATTGTGGGAGGAGAGACTAACCGAGTTGCCATTGAACACCAACGGTCATGCCATCTTTGGAGGTTGGTCTAACAATAATCTTGATATCTTTCCCCAGGTTCATCATCAACCAGTAGATGAAAGCCATCACTTGCTGCAATTAAGAAGACCATCATGATACATTTACAAAATAGAGAAAGCTTTCTAAAAGTCTTTGGGAGAAACATTTTGAAGCCAAAATGTAAAACATGTGTCTACCTTCTTGCCTTGTAAGAGTCGGTAAGAAGATAAGAAGTTGCAAAAGCATTGGCACTCATCTCCAATAACTTCTGAAATTCCATTGATGTTTCGGTCTTTGATATCGTTGTATAGTTTTAGAACTGCCTCCTCTGCTCGACATTCGTCTTTGTCCTCCTCATTCATTGGATCATCTTCTTTCTCATCGTCCTCTGCTGCATAGTGTTCTCTGTCGTATTCTTTCTCACCTTCCTCCTCTAGCTTTCTTACTCTGGTCAGATGTTTCAAACTCTTTTGGTTCGAGTGTAATCGAAAATTTGGATTGACATAACCCTTGCGACTCCGCGTTAACACGTGAGATCTGTTGTAATTTGAGCATGAGCTAAAGCTGTTTATCCCTGAACATAATTTAGAAGAAACCGTTTGTGAAATAGACATACATGAAGATGCCATTTGGCTTATAAACTGGATTAGTTTTGCTGATTACAATAAGATTACAAATACTTTATAATAGTCTGGTCAAGAAGGAAAGATTTGATTTGATTTTTGTTATCTAAGTCAAGTGTAGAAGAAACGAATCAATGAATGTTTTTTGAACAGACAAAGCAAATCGATTTCACATCATGCAATCAATGTCGGAAGATAAGAATCTTTTAGGCACGTGTCTACAGCGTTCGGTTCCTCAGGTTTGGTCTTCAAGTTTCCGCAAAGATTATATATATGTTCTGAATAAGTTTGGTTAAAAGATTTTATCTTTGTGTAAAATCCATTTATGGGATTCCTAACTTCTTAAGGGTTAATAACATTTCACATCTCTAATTATTTTAGATTCAATATAAAATAAGGCAATGATGTTTCAAACACAATCTAAACATAAGTAAAAAACTCCATTGCACTAGATGAAAAACGTTCAACATAAAAGACACAATCACACCAAGAGATAAAAAGTAGAAAGTAGAGATCGAGTTGCACAAATAAAACTTGAGGTCAGAGCCTTGAGAGACTCTTCATACCGGAGACAAGACCCAAATCACTTAGATAAGGAGCTTCTCAATCGCATCCTTGAGCTGCAGAATCTGTGGTTTCAACTGGCTTGCCTCGTTCGATAAAACTGAACAAGCTATCACAGGCCTCGTCACTCCACATGCTCTCCCCAACGCTTGTTTCGATGGTACAAACACATACGGCACATTCTGCACAGAGATAGAGAGGCTTTAGTTTAAAATCAAACTACATAACAATCAGTTATGATTAGTTCACAAGACTAGTGAAAACAGACAGCTAAACATGTGTAATAAAAATGAAGCTATGTAAGGAGCATCGAGACGTGAGAGAGAGAGAGAGGAGATATAATATACCTTATCTTCGGCAAGGAGAGGAAGGTGGAGAAGAATCTCGAGGGGCTCAGCATCAGCAGCCATAACGACGAACTCAGAGATCCCACGGTTCAAAGTCTTGGTAGCTTCATTAGCTCCCTTCTTCAGCTGCTTGTAGTTCGTAGCTTGCTGAACAAGATCCAGGATCGTTATCGCTAGCTGAGAATCAGCTAACGGGTACGCCTTAGGGTTCACTGCTTCCACCGTCATATCTTCGTGAATCTGTCTTTAGAGCTCAAGAAACGAAAAGCGACGAGGAGGAGAGAGAGAAAGGGATTAGGGTTTTAGCAATTTTAGTTACGGATCTTTTTATATACCAGTGATTTCGGGTTTAGAGTCGGTCTTAATATAAACCGAGTTGAAATCAAAATTCTCAATTTCAATCCGGTTCGGTTTTATTAATTCGTTCTAATAATATCCGGTTCATCGATCTCCATCTTCTTCAATTTCACCCGATCGAGAGAAGAGAGGATTATCAATGGCGGAAGATCTGGTTCTCGACACGGCGATCAGAGACTGGGTTCTGATCCCTCTCTCCGTCGTGATGGTTCTCATCGGTGTTCTCCGCTACTTCGTCTCCAAGCTCATGCGTTCGTCTCCCACTCCCGATGCGAAGATGGTCAAAGAAGGGTTAGTCATCTTATTCGTCTCTTTCAGTGTGTAGATTGGATTAGGTGATTGGATCGTTGATGTGCGTTGTGTTTTACAGACAAGTTGTGATTAGGGCTCGGAATCTAAAGGCAGGTGCTAATTTTATCCCTCCTAAGTCCTTCCGAGCTCGGAGATTCTACTTCAGCAACGAGGTATGTTTTCCCAATGCTTCTATGGCTTTCAGGAGCAACTAGTTTAGTGTATTCAGTGTGTGATGTGATTTGTATGACGATTGAGAACATGTCAATGCACAAAACTATCTGGCTTCTTGGATTTGATAGATTATCTTTAAGGAACGGTTACTAATGAGAGTGATGATTGTGTAGAATCAGTTATGTTCCTTTGCGTGTTGTCACGTTGAAAGCTTTTGTAATTATTTTTTTTCATTCTTGTATTGTCTTCTTGTTTGGCTTAATTGTATTGCAGTGTGTACTAGAAGGGTTACCAGCACTATCGTTTCTCACTAGTGTATAGTTTGTGTGTCATTTGATTAAGGAAGAGTTAAATAAGTGTTGTTTTGATGTAGGAAAATGGATTGTTACATGTTCCCAAGGACCAAGCTTCAAACCCACAAGCTCAGATGTTTTCTGATCCTAACATGGCCATGGATATGATGAAGAAAAATCTTTCAATGATTATACCACAGGTGAATTAGATTTTGATTCATCTCTCTTTCTGTTGTTATTAAGTAAATAAATTTGGAAGAAAAGAAACTGATGAACTGAACCATCTTCCAGACACTTACTTTTGCATGGGTCAACTTCTTCTTCTCTGGATTTGTTGCAGGTTTGTTTTTTTCTCCTTTAAGCGTCTCAGACGCATCATTGTCTTGGCTTTTGTGTTTATCACCACGTTTACTCTTAACTCTCTACAATGCAAATGGTATCTGAAACTTCCTAATGTTATCTTACAGCCAAAATACCATTTCCCCTGACTCAGAGATTCAGGTCAATGTTACAGAATGGTATCGACTTGAGCACTGTCGATGTTAGCTATGTGAGCAGCCGTTCATGGTATGTATCTAGTTACATAAAGAATGGCGGCACATGTCACTTTTCTGTGCGAGTTTTGTTTACATTCATGAGCTTATTCGTTCATGTCTCAGGTACTTCTTGAACTTGTTTGGACTAAGAGGCTTATTCAGCCTCATTCTTGGAGATGAAAATGGTTAGTGTTCACATACACTACTCCTCACACCACTATTCAGTCTCAGTGTCCTGGTGAATACTCTTTTAAGTCATTGCAAGTGTTCTGTTTCTTATGCAGCAATTGATGACACACAAAGAATGATGCAAATGGGTGGATTTGGTTTTGATGCATCAAAGGTACCTAAAAATAAGAACCTTCCAGACTTTCTTGAATCATCTATTCTACATAGTTCGTTCTGATCTTCGTCCAAACCTGATTATTGTGCCGTTCGATTTGCAAATTGGTCACAGAGCTTGAGCGCAGAGAAGGACGGTCTCGACATTATTCAACATGAATGGGCCTTACCACGATTCGAGCACCGTGCAGAATCCGTTTTGAGAAAACTCGTGCAGTAGAAACATTCTTGCTTCTGATCCCCTAGGTCTCTACTGGTAGCTATAGTCTCCTCCATTGTTGTCATAAACATGGATATCTACCATATTTTCTTCTGTGACACTCATTTTGTTAAAATTTCTTTTATTATGACAAATATCTGGTGGTTCCAAATTACTTTGGTCCAGAGCTGATCTGGTGCTTATAAGACTTGCTTTTATTTTAAATAGGATCCTTAGAAGTGTGGAAGTTAGATTGTACATATGGAATTTTGATCAGTAATCAACATAACTTAAATTGACATTTTGGACAACCATTCGTCCATGTGTGTTGATGACATTGCTAAAACGAGTAATTCATTCAAACAAAAAGACATTGCTACAACCATTTTATTCAATGACGCCATTTGGTTTAAATCTCTAGTATCATTACAGATATCGGATGGTCCAGAGCTGATCTGGTCATGTCTGATGCTTGCTTTTATTTTTAAATGGATCATTAGAAGATTGTGTAAGTTTGATGGAACATATGGAATTTTGATCAGTTCTCAATATATAAATCTAATTGACATTTTCTACAACAACAACCATTAATTCGTCCATGAGTTTAATTTTTATGTACAAATTAAATGAGAAAAAAATTATACTCCCTCCATTTCTTAATTTAGAATTAAATCTATTATATCATTAAACCATATGAAAATACTAAAATTAAAGTAATAATAAACTTTTCCAAATCTCTCAGTACTAGTGGAAGTGTTCTATTTTTTTTTTTGATCAAACAACCATTCATTCATAATAAAAGTCTACACTCCATTGGAGGATGATGAGTTTAGTAATGAGAGAGCTGATTCAGTGGAAGTGTTCTAAAAGTCCAATAATCTAACGGAATTAGGAAAACAGTATTAAAATAACACAGAATGGAAAAGTAAACAGTTATTTATTGGTGTTACAAAAAAAAGACAGTTATTTATTGATTTTCGTTACATTATTATTATCAGAACGGAAACAAAAGCCAAATGTTTTAGTTGTGGCGTAAGTGTTGAGTATGTTATAGCAATTAGGTGCTTAGGATTGGACATGAAAAACTGGTCATGGGCAGGCGAAACCTCGGGGAATGTTGCGGCCACAAGTCCTACAGAGGATAGTGATATCGGGAGAAAGAGTGTGGGGTCGTGCATTCACCAAATTGCATATGCAAGCAGCTGCCTCGGCATCAGAAAGATCACGGATGAGCGAACAACATGGCTGCGCATTTCCAAAGTCTAGGAAATTTCCGGAACGTCTTAGGACATTGGAACATGCCCTTATTTGGCCAGCATTCCTCGGACATGTGCTAGGCGGGGGAGGTGGTGGTTGGGCATTTGGATTTGGTGGAGGGGGTGGTGGAGTCTGCGGTGGAGGCATTGGTGGTTGGGAGTTTGGAGGAGGTGGTGGTGGTTGGACATTAGGTGGAGGTGGCGGTGGAGTTTGGGAAGGGGGCAGTGTTGGTTGGGAGTTTGGAGGAGGTCGTGGTGGAGTCTCTGGTGGAGGAGTCTTTGGTGGAGGGGGTGGTGGTGAAGTCTGCGGTGGAGGCATTGGTGGTTGTGAGTTTGGAGGAGGTGGTGGGGGAGTCTTTGGAGGAGACGGTGGTGGTGTAGTTGGAGGAGGAGGTGGGGGAGTCTTTAATGGAGGCTGTGATGGTTGGGAGTTTGGAGTAGGCGGTGGTGTGTTTGGAGGTGGTGGTGGTTGTGATGTTGGTGGCTGAAGCGGTGGCTGAGGACACAATGGAGGCGGTGGGAGTCGTGGACAGGGTGGAGGAGGCGTTGGTTCTGGACATGGTGGTGGCGGAATCATTGCCGGTACTGGACATGGTGGAGGCGGAATTTCTGGACATGGAGGAGGCGGCATTAGTTGAGGACACGGTGGACACACCCGTGGAGGTGGATGATGGCAGTGACGGGGCAAGCTGTGGGCTTCGGTTTGGCTGGGGAAGAGGATGCTGATCACTGCAAGGAAGAGAGCTAACGTTTTTGTTGAACCCTGTGGGGCCATTTTGTCAAATTGTAAAGGGAATTGGTGAACTTAGATGTAGGAGACTGTGAGTATTTATACATGATACTGGAGCTTTATTCTGCCACTTGTTTCATTGCCAAACCTACTTATTGCTCAGAGGTGGTTTCATATTTGCTCAAATGCCTAAGCTAGTTGGGATTTTCTGGGTATGGATGCTTCTATTAGTTTATCGATGGATGCAGTATAATACAGAAGTAGGTTTGGCATCCAAATGGGTCGTAGTCGTTAGATTAAGGCTATTTGCATGGAGATGTATTACTTCTAAGGGTAGAATATTCTGGAGATGAGACTGAAGCACTATGCATGCAATCACTACAAGAAAACGTCATGAACTCCGACAAAATTTCCCGAGAAACTGAGTTATCAGAAAATCTGCGACAGTTAACCGAGAAAATAACAATGACTTAATAAATTCAACGGAAAGTTATAGGAAATTTCCGACAAAAAAAGTTGATCGGAAAGTTGTCTTTCAAGTTCTCGAAATATTCTCGGATTATACCGGTATACAAGATTTCTCGGTGCGTGGTCGGACTTTTCATCGGAGAATAGACACTAATAAAGTAAATCATTTACCGATGAATTTCCGTGAAAGACGAAGTTAGATTCTTCTTGTGTTTCAATATATTTATATACTGTTAATTATATATCTAATACTTTAATCCTAGACTCTCTAATCCATGTGTGTGGTCCAGAACAATTACATGTACTTTTTATACTTAGTAAATTTTATTTAATATAACATAGATCTCTGTTTTTATGTTCAAAACAAATAAAAATCATCACTTCTTCTCTTCCACAGATCTCCGTTATGGAGCTGATCTTTTCCGAATCGAAGAATAGATCATTGTTTCCCTTTTCTTCTCTTCCTTTCCTCAGTTTACATCTATCATCTTTTTTTTTCTTCTCTTTCCTTCTTCCCCTTCTCTCTATTTTTTTCAGATCTGTAATTTTTTTTTTTGCTAAGTAAGATCTGTGAATCTGTCAAAACATCACCACCACTCAACTCTTTGCACGACTGACGTCACCACCGCAACCGTGACAATCGCAACTTCTCTCATTGTCACCGCCGCAACTCCTTCCACCGCTGCCGCCGCTCTTCCACAACCACCGTTGCAATCACTTCGGCGCCGTTCCCATTTCCGCTCACTCCACCTTCACACCCTACACCTACGCTGTCGAAGAGATACAATCTGGCACGGCGGCACCACACCACCGTTGCAACTTCAACGACCAATAGTAAATATAGTTTATTTTTATTTCTTGTTTTGATTTATTTAGGATTTTTATGGTTAATTTGTTTATATGTAAATGTAATACATTTTTAATTAAAATGAATATTATTTGAGCTTTATTTATATAAATTATTTTTTTTGTTTAAAAACATTAATTCCTCGGAAATTTATTGGGAATGAATTCTTGAAGTTCATCGGAATGTTCCGATATATTACCGACAAAGCGTTCCGACAATATTAGTAGTCGGAGTGTACCGACTTATTTCCGAGAAAATGAGTTTCCGAGACCCAAACGCCGACTAAAATTTGATTGTCGGAATGTAGTAGGAAATGCTCGTTACCGAGAAACTTCTGATGTATGTGGCTGTCGGAAATTGGGCATTATTCTTGTAGTGANGAATGTTCCGATATATTACCGACAAAGCGTTCCGACAATATTAGTAGTCGGAGTGTACCGACTTATTTCCGAGAAAATGAGTTTCCGAGACCCAAACGCCGACTAAAATTTGATTGTCGGAATGTAGTAGGAAATGCTCGTTACCGAGAAACTTCTGATGTATGTGGCTGTCGGAAATTGGGCATTATTCTTGTAGTGAATAGCAATATATTTGTAGCTGGCGATCAATTATATTGCAAAGTAGTGATATTTGTGGGAGTTTTTTTTATTTTAGCTTGATTAGATTGATGGGCATGTGAATTCAATCTCACAAACCTTTTTAGATTAGCGATGGGGACAGTAAAAAAACAAGAACAGTTAAAGTCCTAACAAAAACAAGGTTCATCACCAGCAACCGGCTTGTTTCTCAAAACAGCAGCTAACGATCAGTCAGTTATAACAAACTGTAAAACATTGCTTAACTGGAATTATTAGCGATTTGAACCAGAAGCATCACATAAGCATATGTAAGTACGTTAATTAGCACAGTTCGGAAAATGTCAAATCTAGAAGGTTGTAAGTGCGATTAAAAATCTATAAAGAGTAAACGCTTAAATAGTGAAGTGTAGTTATTTAATATGGCGTCTTGTTATTATGAGATGTCAACTTTACTATAGTATCTTTGCACCCCAAAAAAAATGTTGTGGGGACTAATTAACCAGATATACGCGCTATCATAATCTCTTCCCTAAAGCACTTTTTCTTGCCGAGGTTTAGAAATCGTGAGTGTATATCTCTTTGGGAAGCTGCAACACGGGCTACATGTACGTCGATGTACCAAAAGTTTAACAAGTATTATTAGACTATTAGTGATTCATCAATCATCATTACTCAAACATTTAATCAGACGTTAGTGAGTTCTAAAACATTTTAACAAAAAGACTAATGAACACATTATATGGGTAATCAACGAAGCACGCAACTAAAGATTCACCGAAAGTCAGAAACTGTACAAACTGTGATAAGAAACAAATATCTTTTCCTACTGTTTTCGTTACCTTCCTTACTTCAATGTTCCAAATATGATGTGACGCAGACATAATCGAATCCCAAATATATCCGTATGGTTTAGTATATCAAATCAGGATCCGACGAAAAAAAAAACAAAACTGGAATATGATTAATGGTACATATTCATGGAGGTTTGATATATATTTATATATATATAGGATTCCATGGATTTTTTCTTTTCATTTTTTTTTTCATGGATCTTGGTTTGATATGGAAACTAAAGACTCATGGTGTTGACAGAAATGAAAATGCAGAAACAGCCTAGCTTTTACGTTTTGATTTTTGCATTTGATTAGCTGTTTTTTTGGAAGGAAATTATTTTAAAAAAAGTGTCACATGATTATTTAAAAATATAAAAGATATAGACTAATATGTTCATAGTCAATTGGTTTTGAGTTGAAATATATCTAATTTGATATAAGTATCAAAGCATGATTCATGCATTGCAACATAATCCATTATCGATATAAGTATATAACCCAAAAGTTGGCATATATAAATACTTACCTACAAATTCTAAGATAAATAATAGTTAAAAAAAACGTTCCCTCAAAACGTATTATGGACAAAATATTCTTAAGTAATATATATAAAAATATGGGTTAATGTACTCATAGTTAATTGGTTTTGAACTCGCGCTTTGTGTTGATGGACTAAAAAGTTGAGTATATATTGGCTACATATATTTACCTAATTAGTAAATAGCATACATAAAGGTTGAGCGTTAAAGAACACTACTAATCACATTCAATGGTAGCATGCATATTCAACTAAATCTTGATATAAACAGTATTAACTCCACAAGTTCAAAATTTTAGACTTCTACGTTACAACTGCATATATTGCAATTTTTTTTTGTTTTATTAATTATGTTATTACAAATTATGAGAAACATTACATAGATGATATTACAGTCGATAATTTTACTTTGTCTTATGCGGATCCACGTCTGACTAAATCATCCTAAGCCGTCCTATGAAATCAATTCCTGACGGTACTTCTTCCAAGCTTTTTCTTCAATTTTCTGCATAATTCATTTTCTCTGGAGATTGAAACCAAGAAATTGCGTACGTAGTCTGGAGTTCGAACCCTAGATCTGGATATAAAAGCCTTTTAAACCTTGACCACTTAACCACAGTACTTCCATGCATGCATTGCATTTTACTAGAACTTTTTTTTTTGTCGGCTTAGTAGAACTTATTATTTACTCACCAGTAACGTTTGGTACAAGGAATACACTTGAAAGAACAGAAACATAAATCCTGGTCTTTGAATACCAACTTGTCTCGGCAGAGACTGTGACATGTATGGCACATTGGCCTAAAAGCACCACTGTTTGAAGCTATCTGAATCTTGGTACCGTTCACTTTGATATTATGGCCAGGTTTCATATAAGGATAGTTTCCTAAGATGCACTTAACATGTAAAGAGATGCGGCAATCAAAACATATGTAGAACAATAAATTCTCATGTATTTCTTCTTCACAAGCGTCACACCAAGAGTATGGTGGCCTTTCTCTTCCCCAAGAGTAATTTTCCTGTCTCTTTTCCAACATTTGTTTCTTGTAGTGTTCTGTATCAAAGTATAACGTAAGTGGATGTACATCATACTTATATCTGATCACAGGAGGTAAGTTCAAGCATTTGAAATCAAAGGAGTCGTCTTCACATGTGTTACAAGTTGCCACAGTAGTTGAGTATTCATGACAACCACAACACAAGTAAGACTTTCTGTTAGCAAGATCTTCTAGTCTAAGATAGAGAGGGCATTTGTGGGTTATATGCTTGAACGGGTCGGCAAAGGAAGCACACTTTGCATCTATTTTGAACCCACAATCTTCTTGGCAACACTGATACAGAAAACCACAAGAATATTGCTTACAAGCAGAACATGTGAAAAAACTTTCCTTGGTGTTCATTTGGACCTGCACGGTTATCCGATGGCGATGTAAGGGATGATCCATCTCCGGTGCAAGGCGAGCACATTCTTCGTGGAGGGCAAAACTGCATTCCTTGCAACCCAAGAAAGTACCCATGTCAATAGGAAGGATACATGCTTCACATAGCTGACAACAATCTTCATCGACATGGATTCTCGATAAGCCATGGCCATGGCTAAAATGATGTACTTTCTTGGCATCCATCTCTTCTATTGAATAAACCATAACATCTTTAGAACTACTCCCTTCCTCAAGTTCTCCTTCGACATGATCTATGCCGTCCCACACGTTGCTATTTGTCGCACATGTTGAATGGACAACATAATCACATGTCATGTCAATACATGCATATCCTCCATAGCCAGAACTAAACCGTCCCTGGCAAACTCCACACTTGGCCGCTTCATTAAGTATATGAAAAACGTGAGAAAGATAACGTGAGTGACGTGTGAGTTTTATAACCTCCGGTAAGAAGATACAACTTCTGTGGACAAAGAAATCGCATTGTAAACATCCGAACATATCAATGTCATCAGGAGTGACAAACCCACAAGCATCACAACAAACTGAGAGTTTTCTTCGAAGGTAAGTGAGTGAATGCTCATGAATCTTTGGATATTTTATTGTGAGACAACCTCTGTGAAAATAGGATTCACATAGACAACAATAATATGTGATTGACCTATCAGGAACCCATTCTTTACAAAGTTGGCAAGAGCTCCGCATACTATCGCATAGACATTTTTGAAGAACATGACGTGTGTGAGATCCTTCAAGGATATCATATTTCTCAAATGTCTTGTATGGTCTAGAACGATATCAATCATGAGTCATAAGAAAACAAATTAATGTAAAACACTACAACTTTTATATCAAAGAAGAAAACGTGTTATTTGTATGAATATGCATTCTTTCTTTTCAAAAACAAAATTAAAATATCTTACCAATTTTATCAGATGTATATCTTGCTCGTATATTTTAAGCCTTTTACTTTTTTTATATTCGTTTGTAGTTAATTAAAAAGATAAATTAGAAATGAAGGAATACTACATTCAGTGCATCTAAAAAACATTAAAAAAATATTAGAACTACTATTTAAAAATTATCACTAAGATCAATTTCAATGAAACACCAAAACACTAATTTTGATGTAATGCAATCTTCAATGACACATCAAAAAGGACATCACTTCACCAAATTAATGTTTTATGAATAGTGTTACATCAGATAAAATAATTTTTTTATTTTTTTTATTTAATTATAGGTAAATTAGTATTATTGATAGTTTTTATTTATTGCTAAAGATAAATATATCATACTATTATATAACCCTTCAATTTAACTTTCAGATTACTAAATATTTTAGAAAATTTTTATATGTTTAATTAATAATAAAACGAAATAAGTATTATCAGTTATATCAAATTTTATATAAAAATATTTATTTTATCATTTTAATTTTTTAAATATGTAAATTATTTATTTCAACTACTATTTTACATAAAATAAGTAAACCAGTATATAAATTAACTTTAAACGAACAGTGAAAATATAAAATTGCCAAAATTTATCAAATAAACATAGAATCTATAAAGTACACAATTAGTAATTGCAAATAATTAATGTATTAAATTATTTAAACAAAAGCACTAATTAATAATATATAATAATATATTTGATGTAGAATTTAGTGTTATGGTTGAGATGAAAACTGAAATTTGACACTAAAACACCAAATCTAATGTTATGGTTAGAGTTTACTAACACTTATTTACCTCGGCTCTTGCCGCGGTCGAAATCTGATGTATGGCATTTGAAGACGATGTCTGAGGTAGCCTGTTCTGGGTGGGCACTTGTTTTCTTTGGTAACGTTCCTAGAGCTTCAGTTATGTAGTACAATTGAAGTAGAATCTTGTATCTATAAATATTTCATGGTCTGACCCCTAATATATATTATATATGTTTAGGGTTACGTGTTCTCAATCAAGGTCCGAACAAAATAAAGTATAATTCTTTTTTTTTGTAACCAAATAAAGTATAATTCTACCTCTTCGACAAAAGGCAAAGTCGAACCATTTTTTTCTTTGCTAAAAGATATTGATACTTTATCTTGGACTCGGACCATGTTCTGAAAGGATTTCTTAATTTTTTTTTATTTGATTTAAAACAAAAGAATCAATAATGGGTCATGCATCATGTGTTGGTAGGTCCGTAAACAGTTAAAAAAACCCCTAATAATCAATCCTAAATTGGTGATTTTGGTTATCGGTTTTTAGTGTTTTGTGAGTCCTATTTACTTAAAGAACCCATAGCATGTCCCGAGCTCTTACGCTATTCTACAAATGTCACATCTGTTTTGTTTTGTTTTGTTTTGTTCTGTGTTTAATGGGTTTTCAGATTTGGATCTTTGTAATTTCAGTCTGAATTTTTTTTTTTTTTTTATAACACTAAGAGAGTACAAGGTTCGTCGAAACGAAAAAATGATACAAAAGATATAAATAAGACAAAGAAATAAGATGTCAGAAGACACCATTAAAGAGGGAAAAGAAGAGGAGCTTACAAACCCTTTCTTACACTGCCTCCAAAGCGAGTAAGTGATGAAGCCACGATGGAGCATTCCGGGCGATATACGACTGGTGGCGCTTATCTCGAGTGACAGAGAGAGCAATAGCCGCTGCAGCTTCGTTTCTTTGTGGAAGAACATGATCCAAACTCCATGAATCTATTCTTGTCAAAATTTAGGGTTTCATATCCAACTAGATGCTGCAACTCTAGAAACATTATATGTCTTCTGTCTTGGTTTAAGATTGATTACTGAATTCATCTGTTTCTAGTTTCTACCAATTTAGAAAACTTGATTATAGTTTCTACGATTTTCTTCATATTATATTTGAAATTTACATTCATGACTATTGACTAAAACGAAACGAATGACAAAAATGATGAAACTCTGAAGTGATTCGTCCGTAATAAGCTAGATTCTTATTATATAAAAAGAGAATGGCCCATTTTCCTGAACATCCATTCATGGCCATATTACTGATTACAACATTGACAAGATTCCCGCGCAGATGTAAGTGGTGTCGTATAGACATCTGTGAACTTGTATAAACTCATGAGCATATAGATCTCTCTTTCCGGGAGTTCTTCAAATCAAGTAACTTCTTTTATTACCATGGAAACTTATATATCAAGGTTAATAAAGTTTACGTCTTCAGAACCTATATATACGTTGGAGTGAATATAATAATCTGTTTAGAAAGCAATTAAACACAGAGATTTTTTGAAGCAGTGATAAAGAGAAGAGCAGAAGAATTTTTATTTTCTTTTAGAGCAGCTAAGAACATAAGATATGTTCTGCACCCACTTTGTCTGCGTTTAAATTTTAACATATTAGTTTAATCATTTTTGGGGGGATAATTTCTGTGCTAAGAGTCTCTATCCATAAACTCCAATAGACGCAATGAAGGTCAATATAGACTTTATTTATGTTTTATTATTACATTGTTATTAGTAGAACGTAAAATTAAAAGAGTGGCAACCATTTAGTTCTGTATAAAAGGGTACGTAAGTATTAGTGTGTATCGAGGAAATTTGAAGAGTGGGTGGAAAAGATTATGGGCACATGAAACCTCGGGGAACGCTGAGACCACAAGCCCTACAAAGAACAAAAACATTGCGAGAAGGAGGGGAACGTCGTTGACCTCGTGGTTGCACAAAACCACATAGGCAAGCTGCTGCTTCGCTATCAGACAAATCACGAATAAGAGAGCAACATGGTCGTGCTCTGCCAAAGTCTAGGAAATTCCCATAACGTCTTACAACATTGGCACATGCTCTTTGTTGAGCGGCATTCTTGGGACATGTGGGCAGTGGGGGCGGTGGTGGTTGGAATTTCGGAGGAGGAAGTGGTGGAGTTTGTTTTGGTGGAGTCCCGGATGGTGGAATCCTAGGTGGTGGTGTATCAGGTGGTGAAATTTTTGGTGGTTGAATTTCTGGTGGTGTATCCTCAGGCGGTGGAATCTCTGGTTCCATTTGTGGTGGTGTAAGCTCTGGTGGTTGAATTTTTGGTGGTTGAATCTCTGGTGGTTGCATTTTTGGTGGTGTAATCTCGGGTGGTGGAGTCTTTGGTTCAGTTTCGGGTGGTGAAATCTTGGGTGGTTGAATTTGTGGTGGTGTAATCTCTGGTGGTGAAGTTTCTGGTTCAATTTCCATTGGTGAAATCTCTGGTGGTGTAATTCCGGGTGGTGGAGTGACTGGTTCTGGGAAAATCTCCGGAAGTGGAATATTTGGTAGTGTAATCCTGGGAGGTGGTGGAGTTTTCGTTGGTGAAATCTCGGGTGGTGGAATATCTGGGTCAGTTGTTATTGGTGGGATCTCGGGTAGTGGAATATTTGGTAATGTAATCCCGGGAGGTGGAGCTTCCATTGGTGAAATATCTGGGTCAGTTGTTATTGGTGGGATCTCGGGTAGTGGAATATTTGGTAATGTAATCCCGGGAGGTGGAGCTTCCATTGGTGAAATATCTGGGTCAGTTATTATTGGTGGGATCTCGGGTAGTGGAATATTTGGTAATGTAATCCCGGGAGGTGGAGCTTCCATTGGTGAAATATCTGGGTCAGTTATTATTGGTGGGATCTCGGGTAGTGGAATATTTGGTAATGTAATCCCGGGAGGTGGAGCTTCCATTGGTGAAATATCTGGGTCAGTTATTATTGGTGGGATCTCAGGTAGTGGAATATTTGGTAGTGTAATCCCGGGAGGTGGAGCTTCCGTTGGTGAAATCTCGGGTGGTGAAATATCTGGGTCAGTTATTATTGGTGAGATCTCGGGTGGTAAAATATCTGGGTCAGTTATTACTGGTGAGATCTCGGGTGGTGAAATGATTGGTTCAAGTACTGTTGGTGAAATCTCTGATGGTGTTATATTGGGTGTTGGATTCTTTGGTTCAACATCTACTGGTGAAATCTCGGGTGGTGTAGTTCCAGGTGGTTGAATCTCTGGTTCTAGTGAAATTTTGGGTGGTGGTGTAATCACGGGTGGTGGGTTATTTGGTGGAAATACTGGTGGTGGACAAACACATGGTGGACAGACAAATGGTGGTGGAGGTGGAGGACGGCGTGGAGGTGGAGGTCGGCGTGGAGGTGGAGGACGACGTGGAGGTGGAGGACGGCGTGGAGCCGGAGGCTGACGGGGATTAGATCGGCTCTGGGCTTCAGTTTCGCTGAGGAAGAAAATGCTGATCAGTGCAAGGACAAAAACTATGGTCTTAGTTGAACAATGTGGAGCCATTTTGTCCTCACAAAGGATTATTGTACGGAAACTGGTGGATTAAATTGTGGTGAGGCTGTGTGTATTTATAGCAGCTTTTGGAGGGTCAAGTACGTTTGCATTCAGCCATTTATTCTATTGCCAAACCCTATTCTTCTGATTAAGACTCATATAGGTGGTGGCTTCAGTTCAAGTAATTTTATTATAAGAAAAAATGGCTGAGTTGGGTTGCAGTAGTCTGTTTTTACACTAAGATTACAGGCGGCAGTAGAATGTTTCCCAAAATGACGTATAATCGGTCGGGCACTCGAACTGACCTTAGTCGTTAGATGAAAACTTTCTGTATGAATTGAAGATACGTTTCTTCTCATTTTTTTACATTGCTATATGTGATATTGTTGATATATATATATATATATTGATACGATTTTTAATTAAAGATTCAGGTCTTTAAAAACTCATGCTGTGTAACTTATCGGTCATATTTTTTTTTTAACGTTCGATGTTTAGACTTGTATATATAGCAATATGCGAAATCCCTAAAATAAAGTTTCGTTGTAATCTGGATTGAGTCATGCAATTAGGAAACGTACCTTTTGGTACTTGCAGGTTTTAAAACTCGGTGCATTCAGTTGCTTGTTTTGGTCTAAGAACACGTACATTGAGGTGAGTTCCACTCTCATAAACCTGTCCCTCTTAAGTTTTATCCGGTGAACTTGTTTGTGGTGAATTCATCACTGTTTTGTGGACTCCATGACAAGTGACGGCCAGGATTGGTTTGATTTTTTTTTTTATGTTTGGCGAAGTTTTGATGTTTTCGTATATTGAATGGGATTGAATACTAATGATCTTGACCAGGCTTTTTCTACTGATAACTTCTGAGGCGGAAGTGAATACTAATTTTAAGAAAATTGACAATCTAGGTAAAGATTTGTTATGTTCAATTCTATCCCAAAGTTTGTTTTAAATTAAGTAATATGACGGTTTTGCTACTCGAGTAAATGGGCATGCTCCATGAGTTTCATTTTCCTATATTTTTTTCATATAGATTGGGTTTAGGGTTAGGAATGTGAATAAGCTAAGCTACCTTGGCTGCGAAGTCTCCATAGTTAGGCAACACTATTTGATCATTTAGGTTGTCAAACACGTCAACACGCATATTAAAACAACGCTGTATGAAAACAATCTTGGCGTTATTGGATATATTACACTGAATTTTTGCAACATTTTTATGATTTCATTATGTTTTTTGTCATATCAATTTACTCACAAAATATAGTATTTTGAAAAAATATTTCCAAAACAAAATAAATAAAATAAAATATACTCCTTAATATCTGTAAGATTCTATTTCAATAAAAATTCAATTTCTAATTTTCATTAAGGCAAATATTAACTAAGTTTGGCTGATTAAAGTGATTTTTCTATTATCTTAGATATTAAAAGATAAGTCATGACTTCACTTTATGTGTGATATTTTAAAATAGACCATCTAATAGAATTCACAACATTATATTATTCAATCATTAATAACACTCATTAGATTTACTAATAACATTTATTGGGCTTATTAAATTTTTTATTGGACTAATAAAAATTAGATGATACATTGGATTTATAGATATTATATTAAATACATGTTTAAATTAAACTTATATAATTTAATATCGTAATAGTATAAGTTAATTATTTATATATTTTGATGTTAACTTTAAAAATTATATAGTTTATTTTTAAAAATAACAAAATCATCGTTTTCTAACAATAATTAATCTATACTATATAATAATTAATCATCATTTTCGATATACACACTTTATATAATATATACCCATTTAGAAATAAAAAAAATGTTTATATAAAAATAAATGAAAACAAATACCCGCGCGGTTGCGCGGGTTGAGATATAGTGAAATGTTAACTTTCTTGAAAGAGTTTTAGGCCTTACGAGATTTTCACCCGTATCATTAAACTTACAATCAAGCCATTACATTATATAGTTTCAAAAAAAAAAAGCCATTATACTATATATATATATATATACGGATAAAATTGATATTGATCCTACCCCGTGGTCAAGCGTGATGAAATTTATATAGTAATTTTTCATTATGCAACAATAACTCCCTTTTTCTTTAATCGAAAGTTCTTGTGTCGGTATTTAAACTAATCTTTTTTTTTGGGTAATTATACTATTACAAATTATGAGAAATTTTACAAATTGGAAAAATATGTTCTTATTTCTTTATGGCCAATATCTGTTTAATTAACAGTAATAAATCAATAAAATGTCTCCAACTGGAATAACAACTTTGTTAGGGTTTTGTAGAATTTTGATGTTTAATTAATGTTCTGTGCCAAACCTCTTCTATATAAAGATGTCTAGATGAGGTTTATATATGTCTTGAGTCTATATCTTTGGGAAGATGCAACTCATGCTCCATGTAGGGACTAATTACTTTCTGTTCATTACCTACATTCACGTATAATTATTTTAGTTGACTTTTAATTTTTGTTGGCGAGTTCTGAAATGAAATCTTAATAAGTACATGCTACTGTAAGCAACCAAACCTACAAAAAAAAAACTATAAATATGAACCCTCACCTCTCAAATAATTCACTCAACACTCCTCTCAGTCACACACAAAAAGTAAACAAAGAGAAGCTTAATTAGCATTTTCAAAACATGGCTTCAAAGAACATCAGCATAGCTCTCATCCTCACCATCAACCTCGTCTTCTTCGGCTTTACCATGGCCCAAGCTCCTGGACCTCAAGCTCCGATATGTCCCAGAAGCTTAACCCAGGTCCAAGCTTGTGGCAACGGGCTTACATCCATCGTGGGTGGCCTCAACATTCTAACGCCGAGGCAATGCTGCACTCTAGTGGCTGAGCTTGACGTATCTTTGGCCTCTGTCTGCATCTGCGATGCCATAAAATTGTCACTTCTCAATGGAACAGTGGAGATCAGTGTGAGACTTGGTCAGATTCTTAGGTCATGCGGTGTTGCTCCCCCAGAAGGTTTCATATGCGCCTAATTCTCTCTTATAAGACACCAGTTCCGTATTATCGGATAATCATGGTGCAAGTATGCTTCTCTAATAACTATATATGTTGTTGAAAATAAAGTGAAACATTTGTATTGTTTTTACATGTTTCGTTGTTAGCTATGTTCTTCAGTTTAATTCCCGGCCGTATGTTGTATCTCTTGGTTCAGATGGAAAAAAAAACAATATATATACTCAAATTATGATCATAATATGCATACACATAGTTTCCTTCCATTACAAACTTTTACAGTTATTATTCAACTAAACAATATAAACGGTTAAAGCTTAGTTTCTAACGGCTCCTGCGAGCATAAACGTCTTGTAAACAATGGTTCGAACCAACTCGGATCCACCCCAAGCCATCTCGAGCTCCTTCACAACATCTTCCGACAACAACTCAACTCCTTTCTCCTTAGCCGCGCCAATAGCAGACCAGGACCGCAGAATCCTCAAGAACCCTTCAAACGACACCGTTTTCTGCATCTCCAGCTCCATGGGCTTACCCTCTAAGCCCAGGCCCACATTCTCAAACGGAAACGGCAACGACTTATAACCGTCCACAAAATACCGACACTCAGGGAACTTCCAATACGGCGTCGTCTTCTCGTTAAACCGAGCCATCACCGAGTCGAACTCGGGACTCACCGCCATGTCCGTGTTGTAGCTCCACACGGCGATGATCCCTCCCGGTTTACGGAGGAGACGGTTAGCGATCGCGTAAAACTTCGGGAGATCGAACCAGTGCACGGCGGTTGCAACCGTTATAAGATCAACTGAGTTCTCTCCTCCGATCAGATCCACCGTCTCGTCTTCCGTCATCGACGACGGCGTGTGGTGGTAAGTCACTTTCGGATGCGGTTTCCCGAGGTTTAGCATCGTCTCGCTCACGTCCGTCGCGATGACTCTGTCGTAGTGCTCCGCGATCTGGCGAAAACCGTTATAAAATCAGAGATTGTAAAAAAAAAAAGAGTTAGATCGGAAAAAAAATGTGAGATACTGACGCCGACTGCGGCTTGGCCGTTTCCGGTACCGGCGTCCCAGGCGAGGTGGTGGTGGTTAGAGAGAGCGGCGAGTTTTGAGTACCATTCGCCGGGGTAAGTGGGGCGTGCGTCTAGGTAGATATCTGCTTCATAGTCAACCACTGACATTTTTTTTTTTTTTTGCTTTCTTCTTCTTTATGATTTGTGCATTGGTTTCAAACTCTTGGTTTAATAGATGAGGTGATGACGTGGCAGGTTGCGAAATTCGATTTTGTGATTTCCTCGTTTCACAGTTTTGACTTTGACCGGATGATGGTTTGATTGGTTAATTTGTTTCCGGTTTGGTATTTGATTTTCCAATTTTTTTTGGTTAAGCAGACTGTATTAGTCTTTGGTATACTATGAACTGGAGTCTGGATTTTGAAGGAAAGAGTCTTTTGCCTGGATTTATATTTATTCCTCACATATTTTGTTTTAATTAAATACAAATGGATAACAATGAACTTTGTCCCGAATGTTATTGACCAAACTAATATTAATCTCAGCTATTTAACGAGAGAGATACATAATGAAAGAGACAGAGATAAGACTTTACAAAAGACACTCTACCGAAAGAAGGAGCTCTTTTAGGAGATAGGCATCCTTACAAAAAAAAAAAAAAGCATTATAACCAAAAGCCTTTCTGATATCATGTTGTTCTATGCCCTTTTTAGTTTCAAGCAGAAAACTGGAAGGCTTTTGATACTCATGTGAAGAAAACGTTTCTTCTGTGTAGAAAAACTCCAATGCTGTCCGGATGAAAATCTTCTATTAAGCAGACTTCAATGCAATAAGCGAAAAAAAAGTTAATCAACAAAGCTTAAGTTATTGTTTCGTGTTCTATACTAAAAACTACAAGGAGTGGTTACAAGAAATGGTAGGGGGTGAGTTAATTACCTGGAAATGAAAACTTGAAAGAGCTTTTATTAAGCAGAATCAGCTAGCTGCTCTTCTGTGAACTCGCCGAAGATGTCTGGGCATTCATCCCAACTCCTGTCTCCTCTTGCTTCCCAGTAACCTCCCGTGTACTTGAAGGTTTCATTTTCTCCTTGTTTCTCGAACCATCTCGGTCTCCACCCGCTTTCTTGAAGTTGTCTCGACTGCACAAAAACCAAGCAAAAAGAGATCTTAAAAACATGACTTCACTGGCAAGTTCTTTGACCAGTGAAATGTTTAAAGGTGACGTACCATTCTTTGCCTTCTTTCTAACCGTTGTTTCTCTAAGTTGGCCTTCTCATATTCACCATTCTCCAGATGCCTTTGATCTGGTCTTAGCCTAGAGTCTGTTGGAGGAAGCATCTCCTAAATAGACGGATCAAAATTTACACAAGATTAGCAAATGCTATAAGAACAAAAAAAAAACAAGATTAAACATAGCATATGTGTAGAAGAAACAATAATCAAAGATTATATTATTTGAACATACCTTCAAACCAGGTGTTAGCTCGTTCAGTGTAATAGCAAATGAGGTTAAGTTGTATCTAGTGACATTAAGCGGTGGCTTAGTCCTTCTCCACAGTAATGAGGCGTTTGATGCAGGATCACTCACTTTCGTCTTACTGACTCCATCACCAGCAACATAGTAAAGACTATCATCCCATTTACCAAATACTGTTGCAGCTTTTTGACCAGCAACGTCTTCTACAAAACCATTTACCTATGCAATGTATATTTTATTCACATAAGTATTGTTTCAAGTACATGTACAGAAAATATCGCCGTCGTAAGTAACTAACCTGGTGTGGATTTCTCTCAAGAATGGACTGTTCCTTAAACTTGAGTGTACAAGAATATTGACGGTTTCCACGGATTTGCATCACCCCATGATGATCACAGTAGAGTTTACCTAGTATGATATTGTATATAGTTGATGTCACCTAAGAAAACAAAGATAATTATAAAGTTATTTCAGAGTCAAAAAGACAACAAAAGTGACTCAAAAATAGTAGTCTATACCTTGCTCCATTGAAATACTTCACCATCATCAAACTCCAGAGTTAAAACTCCTACAGGCTCAACTTGAATCGATCTCCCCCAAAACTTTGACCTAAGGTTAGTATCACCCCAGAACTTCCACCCTTTACCTTCACAATGGCTGGCGATAACAGTTGGATGATGGCTGACCTAAAAAAAAAGAATGATATTCCCATAATCATCTTGAGAATTATATCCATCACATTTTAACTAACTTTTGTGCTGAAAGAAGTACCTTTTCAGAGAAGAAACGTATTCCCTTTTCAGGAAAGTCAGCTTCATAGGTTTCTCCAAGCAAAGGGTTGAAGGGCTTACAGTGCCTGCCTTCAGTGGAAGCATAGCCAGAGACCGCAAAAGCAGCAACGTTTAAGGCTCTTAAGAGACCGTTCCCCTAGTCAATTTAAGAGAATAAGATCAAGAATGTTAATGTAGGCTTATCTAGCAATACACTTACAGATTTGCCGTGTTCATAAGCTCGGTCCAGAAGATAAGAGTACTCCAAGTCTTCAAAGCACTTTTGGAGGGATGATATTGGTTCATTGAAATACACAGGGAGACAAACTCTGGTGAGATCTTTTCCAACGTTGTCTTTGATCATAGACCAAAGACTCACAGCTTTCTCTTTTTCAGCTGGATCAGGAAGTTTTGTTCTTCTCTTGATATCTGCACTAGATAGATTGGATCCAGAACCAATGTTAGGTTCGTTAAAGTACTCCTTAGTGTCGTGGAAGGAAGGCTCATCGTCCTCAGAAACATCCTCAAACTCTTGTTTATCATCAGATGAAGCAGTAGTGCTGCATTCTAGAAACCAAATAAGTGTCAAGCAAACACACACACAAAGAAAGCCCAAAAGCTGAAGGCATTCAAAACGCGTTAGAGCATGTACCACTATACTTTCCACGTCCAAGGCTTGAATGGATCCCTGATGCTCCAGCTTCGAGATTAGCTTCCTACACAAAACAAAACTCACATTACTCAGTAGCCAACATGATTAAAAAAACTGATAGATGCCACTCCAATTGCAAATCAGACCATATGGATAAAATGACACATGAACATGTATTATGCGTTCATTAAGATATAACAAACTCAACTTTTAGTTCTAGGTACTTTGCAGCTATGAAACTGTATCATTTTGAAAAGAAACTTAAGAATCCTCTAGACTAACCATACATAAACTCAAAACACTCTTCTTATCAACATCAACATCAAACTCAAATCCAGTTTCATCGCATTAAACACAAAGATATATATTAGGTTTACCTCAAGCTGTCTCAATGAGTCAAACAAATTAGTCCGTTCTTCATGAAGAAGCTTGATTTGTCCATGCATTTCAGAAAACTCTGATTGCATGATCTGCTCACACTCTTTTACAAGATTGTCGTTCATTCCAGCTTCGTGCAACCGTTTCTTTAGTCTCTCGGTTGATATGGACAAATCCTTTGGTGATGTGAAGGAGAATTCCCCATTAAATGACCGGAGAGGAAAAATACATTTTGTAGATGCTAAAGCTTGTAACCAAGCTGCTCTATCACTTAAAGAATCAGTCCGAAGATGAAGAGTCTTAGTCGCTGTGAATATATAGAACTTCCTATCATCAGACTTGCTTTCTCTGAAGGAAGAAACCTGCTGGAGAAAAACATAGAGATATACACATCTTATTACAAGATCTCAAGTACTTAATCAAAACCACAAATTCCTCCAACTAGAAATCAGTTGATGGATCTTTGTAAAAAGCAAAAAAAAAAGACCCTGAAATTTCAAAAACTTAATGCTCAGCTTTGGAAAAAGCTTGAAGTTGCAGATTGGAACTAGGAACAAATCAAGATGGGCCCATGAAGAGATTACTTTAGACTGGATAAGGCACGCTAGAGTTTCTATAGGTTGAGAAAGACAAAAGTTATTATTACCTATAAGCAAAAACAAAAAAAATATCATAAGGTTATATGTCTGGATCAGCTTTGGAGTTTTTGGATGAAACTAAATATTTAAAATTTGAAAGTTCAACAAAGAATATGCCTGTTAAAAAACAATACAGAACAAGCCATCGTTTTCTCATTGTCAAGCAAGAAGCATGTCAAAACAGGTCTTTTTTATAATTGGCAAGACCCCACCCCTCCATTATTTCCAACAGACTAGTTCTAAGCACCAAAACATGTCTAAAATGATAAAATCCAAGAAAAGAACTCTATAATTGAACATATAAGTAGAATAATACTATACACATAAGCCCATCACAATGAAATAATTTATAGTTAAGCCTTCTTAGTCAAGGAGAATTCAAAAGTAAAAAGATGTTAATGAAAAGTTTAAAATGGTTATATAGCCTTTTACTCAACAAAGACAAATCAAATCAAAGCAAACCACATGCAAAGTGTCCAAAATTCAATAGACTTGTTTTAGTTATGCAACTGAAGAAAAAAGATCATAGTTTTAGTGACTAAAATTGACATATATATCTTTAAACTTCTTGGCCTTTTTCTCCAGAAGAAAAGAATCCAAAACTCTATTGACGTATGGCAAATGAGTTAAATCTCGAAAACCAGAAAGAAAAAAAAGATAAAAAACTGAACCTAACACCTAAAAACACACTTACTAATAAGAAACCGATGTAACCACTGAACAAAACCCTAAAGGTACAGAACACCAGATTGTAGCAACCAACAAAAGTGTTTTTAAATTTTTTTTGAAAAACCAAAAACAAAACACCTGTTGATGTGACCCACTAAGAGATTAAACAGCAAGTTCAAAGCTGGCAACAAAATTAATAAGAACCAAACATATTAAAATATCATTACAAAAACTAATTTAGGGTTTTTTTATTTTATTTCCGTCAAAGAACACAATGAACAACTCTATAAACCGCTGTGTTATTTCCTCTTAACTATGAGTGATAAAATGGTGTCTCCTTTCTCCAGAATTAAAAAAAAAAAAAACACTTTAATCAATCAAATGTATATACCTTAAGATGAACAATGCCGACTGTTTTCTCCTGTTTCCGACGACCACTGCAACTATCCATCCTCGAGAGACGATCCGCGGAGATATCTCCGATGAGTCTCACGTCCTCCGAAGAAGAGAGAAGATTCAGATTCTCCGGTCGCCGGATCTTGGAGTAAGACAAGATTCCGTTGCGGAGGAGGAAGTATCTAGATCTCCACCCTTTGCTGAAGTTTGTCCACTTGTACAAGATCCCACCCACCGATCCAGCCGCTGTCACGTTTCTCCGGTTGGATCCAACGGTTAACGACGTCGCCGGAAGACTCCTCGACCTAGTTAGATTCGTCGTCGTCGCCGGCTCTTGCGGCGGGAGGTAGTTGTTGTCATCGTCGTCGTCTTCTTTAATCGTGTGTGGACTCTCCAGAGTGATGCAGCAGAGAGGATGCAACTCCTTCACCCGCATTTTTTGTTTTTGTTTTTTTTTTAATGGCTGATCACTCCGGGGAGGTTGTGTCTCCGATCACAGGCTCCGGTGAATATTCATCTCTGGGGATTTTTATTACAGATCGAAGAGAGTGGGTAGATGAAGCATGCAGAGTTGAAGAGGAAGGAAGAATAAAGAACCTGAAGCTCTGAAACTCAGATTTTTCAGACAAGAGAATCAGAGAAATCAAGAGAGAGAGAGAGAGAGAGGTTGTTGCTTTAATGTGAGACTGCGTAAACTTTCAACCCAACTATAAAGGCTTTATGTAATACTCCATTTTCTATGGATATGTATACTATGTGTATATATGTGGTTGATGATATGTGGTTTTATTAGATTGTAAATTTTAAATGTTGGAAAAGAAAATTAATGGAATAAAAGCTGGATTTTATTTTTTTGCTTAATCTTGATTTAAAGTCCATAATTAGATAATTTTATCTTTAGTTAGATACACACTTACAAAGAGGTTTGGTTTTTAATTTATTAAAATCAGAAGATAGGTCCACAACATTAATCACATAGTTTGATTTCAAGCAATCAAGGTCACTGACAGTTACACCATGATTACAGCTCAACAAACTATTTGGGGTAAATATGGTGGAAAAAAGTCACTTTGAAATAGTTTTAAAAAGTTGACTTAAAATAGTTAAACTTTAATTTACCTTTTTATCATATTTTATACTTTATATCACATACTTATATATCTTTAGTAAGAAAATCATACTGTAATATAAACAATAAACTGTCAACCTTGCTAATCAGATTTACTGTAATGAACAACAACTAATTTAAGTATGAGGACAAACATGAGTATATATGGACATGGTTAAAACTGTTGTTAGTAATCCAAATCAGGCTATGATCACTTTATAACAGGGAATATTCTTGTAGTTCCTTTTACAATAGATTTATTCTAATAATAATATCAATAATATACTTTAGATTAATTTTTAATAATGATTTTAAGATAATATTTTATAAACCATGTTCGGGATGATAGGCTGTCTCACTTAATGAAAAAAAAAATTGAAAAAAAAAATGTAAATTGAAAATTGAAGATAGCAAATACAATTTTGATATAATCATGTTGAGAGGTAGATAAGTTTTCAATTTTCAAAACTCATAGAAAAGAGATTTGTATAGCTAATTGAAAAGGTATAGTCTTTTTAAGTAAGAAAAATAAGTTATGTTAAAATTGTAAGAAGTAATGCCTAATATATAAATAAACGTTTAATATAATATAGAATATGTTTATGAAGCACTCCAATGTAGGGTAGTATATTTATATATCAAAATATTACAATATTTTATCCTTCTAAGTTCTAAGTACTGTTATATTATATATTGTAAATGTTGACAAAAATGATATATTGTAATGTACATAGAATATGTAAGCTCTCAAAGGAAATTGGTAGGTCAATAGTAGGGTAAATGGTAACAGTCTTTTTCAAGAAAACAAAAAAAAAAGGAACACTATAATCATTAATTTCCTCGTATTTTGTTTGCCGAAAATGACTTATCAGCGAGGTAAAATAAATTACAAAGTTAAATGCCAACCGTACATCAAGAATAAGCCCACTTTTGTATTGGAATAAAGATAATTTACCAAGTTACTGATAGTCTTTATCTTATGGATTTTTGGATGGTAACAAAATTTATAACTCATTTTCTTCTTTTTTAACTCGTAAGATCTAAGCTGACTGATTTCAGATTTTTTTTAATTGTGAACTTATACTTTTTCATAATGATTTTTTTAAGAAAATTTTAAATATACTTTTACAAAAATATCGTCTTCATGGTTGATATTATTTTATTAAATTGTATGAATTATTTTTTATTTTTCTTGGTTTACAATTTTTTTGTATGAAACCAGAAGTTTATTTCGTATGAATTGTTTGTACAAATGTTCAAGCTAATTTTAAGTTTAGCTAATGTCGTATAATGGCATCTCTAACTTTACTTCATAATTCATTCTAAAATAGAGTTTATTGTAAAAAATGTTCAAAATTCATTATATTTTCTTCTCTATAGTGGATTAACAGTTTTATTCCATAAATAAATATTTTTTTTTATTTTTTATTCATTATTCTAATTTTCAAATGAAGTAAGCTTAAAATAATTTCTAATTCTATTATAGGAGTACTTCATTTTCACGGAAAAATAGAGTTTTACATTTAAAAGAGTCAACTATAAATAAAAAAGAACAATCTAATGGTTTCCAAATTATATAAATTCAAAATGTACAAGTATTCACCCACCAAAAGGATCAACCACCTCACCTTAAGAACAATGTTTAAAAGCTCCATGTATCTTCAGTCAGTGGAATATAATTTTGTGTCATTTACAAGACGATTTTCCATAAGTAACAAAAGCTGTGGAATTGAAATATAAGAAAACAGTAATTAATTTTGATGACAGATGTATATATAATAGCACAATGTTTATGATTCTCATTTATTACAAAAATAGCATCGACCGTGGGATGTTTGAGGCAGTGGACCGGCGTGGCGTGGATGACCCGGTACTGGCTTGTTGTCCCATTGTCTCACACGCGTGAGAGTTCATTTTTTACTTTTTATTTGTCTTTTCTTTTGGCAGCTAATATAAATTAGATACCTACGTATTGTTGTATAAGATAAGTATGAATTATTTTTCTCTTTTTAACGATATGTTATACAAAGCTTTATAAATATTAAGTCACTAAAATTAAAGGCTGTGAATGTAATTTGTTCAAAGAACATTTGGTTAGACGTATACTCGTCTATGCGATTCTTTAAGGCTCAACCCGAGTTGTACTCACTCGCTTAAGAACCCGACTTGTACACAATATCTACCGGTAGGTGATTTCGACAAAGAAAACGTTTTATATAAACCACAGGTTTAAATTAATCATTCGAGATAACTGTCTTTGTATTTTTCTTCTTGTTTTTAATAAAAGGTTCACAAATAATTGTCATTGTTGTATTGAAAACGCTTGACAAGCATAAAAATTATGCTTCAGTGAATAAAACATTACGCGTATAGATTAACAATATTTCATTGAAATAAATTAAAACGTTTTCCACTGACAGTGACGACACCTTGATCAAACAACATATCATTCTCCACATTCTCTGAGTATGATCCGGTCCGTTTAATTTCAGTATTAATTTTTATATCTCCAATTTCTATATAGTTATTTGAACATCATATTACTTTTCATCGCGCCAGATCTTGTAAAATTATCATTTATTTTCACCTTTTTATGTATATATAATTATTTAGAAGATTTGTGTTGTTTTGTTTATTAAGTTACAAATTCGAAAGTACATCTATATCTGTATGTGTATTGATAAGTAAATTAACAAACAAAACAACTATCCTATTGGAGATTTCAAGAATTCGAAGGCCGAAATTATAGTAGATATTTAAACTAGCTAGGATCTGAAGCACATGTTTCCGTCAAGGCCACCACTTAACATGATAAAAATTGACTAGTGTAAAGAAGACGATGACAAGATTCACTACAAATTCACAAGACGGTGAACTACTTTTTTTATATTCATTTTTCCCTAATTGTGGGCTAAAAACTCCTAAGCAATCCATTAATACGTCACTTTACGGTTAGAAGAGGAAGACAATTTTGTTTTTAAAAGGTGGTGAAGAGCACTCGCGAGATGTCTATAGCAAATTCATACTCCCTAATTTTATCCACTAACTACAAACTTCTTAAACCGAGGTCCTGATTAGACCATTAGTGAACCTCCTCATAACCAGCTGAGACACGGTTTTCTCATTGAAGCAGCATCCGTACATAATCGATATTAAATAAACATTCTTGAGGCTGCAAATTGTTATAATTCTCTATATTGTGAAGAGAAAAAAATTGCTGTTCCAAAATTTGGTTGTGGAAAATAATCTAGAGAATTATTATAATATTGAATGTTGGCGCTAGTGTAAATTTATTACTAAAGTTGAAGATTGTGATTATGAGAAGGGAAACAAGAAAACTTATATAATAGGAACGTGAAGGTACTATTGACTTGTGTGTTTCAGTCATGTCGAATTTTGGCCAATGTCAGTTTGGGTAGTATTGCTGATTATAACAGATCAAGATATCATCTAACATGTGATTATAAGCGTTAAGGTACCGATTAATTCGTGCGTGTATGTTCATTTTTTTGGTCCAACATGAGTGTATGTTCAATTAATTCTAAAACCATTTTTTTTTAAACTATAAATATATTTTTTGGAACCAAACATGTGTATAGCCGACTCAAACATTTACGTTAATTAAATCTTGTGATTGGCCATTTGGTACACGTGACAGGGCTAGTGTAGAGAACGGATTCACTGGTATTCATATTTGTAAGTACTGCAATATGGACTAAAATATCATATATTGAGAAGTGAGAACAAAACTAGTAAGACTGAATAATTAAAATTGTGGTTAAAATTTGAAACTATGTCACTTGATTACAAATATAATAAGAAAACAAAGAAAATTGTCATCCTAATATGAAACCAAGATGGGAATCACGTCGAACCCACTAAATCCCAAAATATGATCAATAATAGTGGTACATATCGTGTCTTTGTGCTTGTGAGACCAAGATTATCTTTAGATAAGTCGTAGAAAGCCATATGTCCCTTATAAGTGGTATTGTTCCCAAATAGTTTGTGAACCCTTTATATATTATTAAGATAGTTAGTCTGAATCACATGTCTAATCTATTCAAGTTTTTAATATTAAGATAAATTGGTTATAACTTATAAGTAAACGTTATGTCTAGATCTGTTGTTGAGATGTTTTTTCCTTTTTGTGGAACAAGAGGGACCCGTTGCTAAAAGCTGGTATAAAAACTATATTCACTTGTGCAGTGTTTGTTTTCTTAATAGAATTTGTGTAGTTTGTATTCAAAATATGTTTAAAACTTTTTTTTTATAATTTGGAGTTGTTTCGATTCTATGACCCAAATTGATCTACAAAAGGAAATCCAGTTTATGAATGAACTTTTTTTTTTTGGATAATCAAATGAGATTTAAAACATTTTCCTTTATCTATGTGATTACAAAGTGAAATGCAGTAAAGTGTTTTCAAACCCAATTTTTTTAGCTTCTTCAATTTTATTTAACACTAGACCACATCCTTGTGGTTTTGAAACTTATTTAACAAGAAAACTTTAGTTCTTTCTAAATAGTAGAACTTTAAGGTAAGAAATCTGCATGAGATTTCCTAACATTTAGATTGTGAACCTATG